GTTCCACACCAGTTGACTGCTAGGCACTCCCAACCCTCCCTGTGCTCTTCCAGCTTCTTTGCCTCAAAGTAATCCCGCCCCTCCCACCATTCAGGACTCCCTGTGACAATCCAGGCAGATTCTGTGGGTCTAAGCCATCATAGCCACCACTCTGCCTGCCTGTCAGCTCCAGGGGCTGCTCCTCTGTCCCCATCCTGGCCCTCAGTCTGTCCCCACACCTGGCCCACACACAGCCAGGAGCCAGGCTGCCTCCACAGTGGCCCTATCTATGGCCAAGCCAGGGCTCTCAAGACTGTCAGCTCCTGCCAGCAGGGGTGACCTGTGTGCCATCTCACCAAGCCCCTGCTGCTCCTCCCCTGTCTGACTTCCTCCAACCTCCCACAGGCCAGTTCAAGGAGCTGATTCTCACACTGTGTGAGCTCATCCACCAAGGCCAGCTCACGGCACCTGCCTGCTCCGAAGTCCCACTGCAGGACTACCAGCATGCCTTTGAAGCCTCCATGCAGCCCTTCTCGTCTTCAAAACAGATCCTCACCATGTGATAATCACAGAGGAGCCAGAGAGATGTGGGAGGGGAGCTGGCTCAGCAGGACTGGTTTTGTCCCCTCCATCAGGGCCCTCATGCTGTCCCAGGCTGCTCCTCTCCTCAGCCATCCAAGGCTTTCCCCAGGGCTAGCCCTGCGGTATCTAATAAAGTCTGAACTTCCTAAAAACAGACAAAACCAATAGAAGTCATCCCTGTCAAGAAAGACCATCTCTGTGTACCTGCCATCTCCCAGCACTAAGAAGCCCCCTTTCCTGTCCTCCATTTGTCCCCCAGGAATGACTGCCTGACCACCCTGAAAGCAAAGTCAGAGTGGGCACTGGCAGGTTCAAAAGCCAATAAGGCAAAATCACTGCCTTCAAGCCAGCCAAGCCCATAGAGGAGTAAAAAGGGAGGTTTGACTTATTCTCAGGTGGTGCACAGCTCAGTCTGGGTTAGGGTGAGGGTCAGCTGCACAGAAGAATGAATGCCAGGCTCAGGAACTGAGCAAATGGGATCTCATGTGGCTGGACCACCCTTGTGGAATGTCCATTCTGAGTAGATAGCTGTTACATCAGGGGTTCTCAACCTGACATCATTTTACCCCCAAAGGACATTTGACATCTGGAGGTGGTTTTTGGTTGTCATAATTGAGAGAATTCTTTTGGCATCTAATGGGGCTGAGGGAGGTCTGCAGGTATCCTCTGGATAAGATTTGCCACCTTATACACCTGGGCTCCAGATCAGCCCCAGTTCACCCAAGTCCCTGCCACCCCCCACCCCACCCCGCCCCCTGTCATCTGTCCTTGAAGTGAATGAGACAGATGATTTGTACAGATTGTCAATGTAGGCAAGTGACAAAAGCCCAAAGGCTACAGGAGTGAAAGTTAAGATGTGGTTCTTCAGGGGAGTCTACAGTGTGGGGCCTAGGAGAAGTGAGGAGCCTGTGGCCATGGAGAGGGAACAGGGCCCAGGGACAGACTTAGAGGCAGCAGATGGGAGGAAGGTTTTAGCACCTTAGCATGGTTAGAAACCTCAGTGAGGGGTGTACACTATGTCCTAGGAACTGTACCTCTAGGGATATGGAGGTGGCAACTGGGCTGGGCTCTGAAGGATGGTTAATAGTTTTCTCAGGCAGGGAAGGGAGACAAGCAGAGACTAAGGGACCAAATTAAGCAAAGTTATAGAGGCAGAACATTTATGTTAAAATCTCCTTTTCCCCAAATATCCCTTCTCTTCCTAAAAATTAAAAATGACAACTTTTAGGTGGGCATATGGTAGACTGGAATGAACACTCCCTATCTCCCTAACAGCAGACCAGGTCTGTTTTTTGTGATGGAAGCAGAGATGGTAGGCATCACTTTCCATGGAACCTCTTTAAAATATACCTTGGCACTGATCCTATACCTTTTTTCCCCTTCCATCTTCCTCCTGGCTGGGATACAGACAGACATGGTTCCTGGAACTTGCATAGCTATCTTTGACCATGCTAAGAATGGGACAGCAACAAGATCAAAGGAGCCTGGGTCCTTGATGCCCAGAATCCCCCTACAGCCCACCTCAGGACTTGTTTTACATGAGAAATAAGTCTCTATGTTATTTAAGTCCCTAGTATTTGGGCTTTTCTGGACCTAATCATAACCGATACACATTTTATGATTTAGTTTATATTGAAATCAAGTCAATCAATCTGATGCTGAAAAAGTGAATTGTGGTAGTTTGTGATTCCCAGCTAAGGAATTTGGACTTTATCCTGTTGGCAGTAGGGAACAAAAGACTTCTAAGCCAGATCAGAACTGTGCTTTGAAAAACTCCTCTGGCAGTAGTTTGGGGGAATAGTTTGGAGAAGGGAGGCACTAAAGGAAGAGATAAAATCAAAAGTTCCCAGGCTCCTGAATTTCAAATAAGTACAAACCCCCTATGCTTCAAAGACCAATGTAGAGATAACCAACACTTAAGAGGCCAGCAGAGGGAAGGGGACTGAGACAAAACAATGTCAGAAGAGATTCTTAGAATGGATTGTCTCTTCCATACTTTACAAGTAGAGATGTTTTTAATTTTCAGGCTGAATATCTCTCTGTGGAGTTGGGACAGCTCTTCTCACCCACTAAATCAAGAATACTCTTTTTTAATGGCTGAAGAAGCAACTTGTAGCTCCAGGAGACCAAAAGAAGACAAACAGGCATTACCTCCTAAACCAAAGCTTGGGCACACCTGAAGCCCCAAGGCTTCCCAACCCTGGCTCTTGTATTCTGGGAGCATCCACCCTGCAATGACCTACAGCCACTGCCATAATATTGAGAGACTGCCTTGTGTCTTGGGAGATGAGATAATCAAGCCTGTTTTCTTCAGGGAAAGAATGAGGCCCAGAAGAAAAAGGCTCTTGCATTAACCTGTGTATGCCAGGCACCCCTGACCTTGTACCTGGAAGTGCTTAGAAGCAACCCCCAGCCCCATGCTTACTGGTAGGCCCAAGTGCTGGGCCCAGGCAGAGCAGCTGGAAATGGTGAAGAGATCAGTCCTGGCACAGCATCTGCCCACATCAAAGGCAAGAAAATCCTGGGAAGACAGCAGGGCTAACCCAAAGGTAAGTGGAAATAGATGTTGCCACCCTCTGAAAGGGAAGAAAGCTTCCCCTGTGCTCCAACCCAATGCAATGTACAAGCACTTTCGTGTGCATCTTCATTTGATTTTTACAACCTCCCTTTGTCATTGAGATTTTAATATCACAACTTAACAGAAAGGAAAGATGCTGAGAGGTGAAGTGAGTTGCTCAAGGTCACACAGCAGGCAGCAGAGCTGGCACAGAAAACAGGTCTCCTAACCCTGTCTGGTTATAATACCAGTCAGTCTCAATTCTTTTGACCCCATAATTGGCCTTGAGCTTTCTCCTTTCTCAGGATGCCTTGATTTTTGTTCAGTGATAATTGACATGTCAACAGGAAGAGAGTTCAAATTTCCCTGAGTCTGTGTCTCATGGGGAGGCATGAGAAAAAGGGAGAATTAGGAGGCCACTGAAGGAAGAAGTCCAAGTGAGAGATAATTTATTTATTCACTCAGTAAATATTTTGAACACCCATTATGTGAAAAGCACTGTCATAGGTACCAGGGACACAGCAAAAAAAGAAACAAAAAACCTGGCCCCTGATACCAGGAAGCTTCCATTCTAGTGGAGGAGAAAAATAGAGGACAAGTGAATAAATAAACAAGGTAATTACAGACGTGTTAAGTCCTTTGAAAGAAAAAGTACAGTGATACCATAGTGATAAAGGGTACTAGAAATAAGGTGGGTCTGCGGCCTGAATGAGTAGGGGACCAGCCAAATTTCCAGGCAGAAGGAGCAGCACGTTTACAGAGCAGCACATTTAAAAGTCCTGATATGTGGACAATATAATGAGGCCTGAGCTAGCTAGTGAGTGAGTGAAGTGGATGGATTCGTGAACTTCGGAGAATCAACAGGACAGACTGAATGCGGTAGTGTAGGGTTGAACTTTTGGCACCTTGCTGGATGGAGGTGCCACTCCCTGAGTTAGGGGACTCAGAGGAGGAACAAGTTTGGGAGCAAGGCATTGCCTTCTCTGTGGGACTCTTTTTTCCCATCTGTACAGTAGGTTGATCTGAATATATGACAACCAAGTTTAGCACTAGTTCTTAAGAGTATTATGATCCTCACACTTTACTAAAATCCAAATGGGTCAAAGACTGCAATATAAAAATAAGTCTAAAAATAACAGAATAAACCATAGGAGGTATTTTGCTTTTTTTAACCTCAGAGTAAGGAAGGCCTTTGAAACTATAACACAAAACCCAGAATCAAAGAAAATAAAGGATGGATAAATTCAATCCCATAAATATCAAATGTTTTTGCATGGTAAAAGACACTGGGCAAAGTCAAAAGTTAAAAGACACTGGGCAAAGTCAAAAGTTAACAAATGGAAAAAAATATTTGCACCTCTTTTGACAAAAAGCTGACTCCCCTGTTAGTGAGCTATGAATTAATAAAAATGGTCAGAAGATATAGACACAAAAAGGAAAATGGGTCTCTTACACACACAGAACAAGGTTCACTCAAGATAATTAAACTGCCCCAGGATACCATTTCTCAACTAAGATTGACAAAGATCACAAAGTTTGATAATGTGTTGATGAGAAAAAAACAGTACTTATGGAGAATTAAGCAGTATCTATCAAACCTGTACTTGAGCACACCCTTTGACCCAACTATCCTACTTCTAGGAATTGACCCTACATATAGTTTGAACCTGTCTCAATGACCTTCGCTATAGCACTGATTAAATAATTACTTTGTTTAAAATGGTATATTATGAGCCATAAAAATAGTCCTGAGGAAGCTCCTTTTGTATTACGGTATGATTTTCTAAATATATTAAGCGCAGAACTGCATGTACAGTATACTGCTCTAATTTATATGTGTAAAACACCTCCAAAAGGACATTTAAGAAACTGATTACATTACCTCTAGGGAGGGAAACTAGGAGACGGGAAGACTTCACTGTGTATCATTTGAACCGGTTAATATATTTCCTTTCAAAATATAATCTAAAAAATAAAAATAAACAGAACTCCTTTGTGATTCTAGGTAAATTGGGTGAGAAGGAAACGAGTATTTATTGAGCTATCACGCTCCAAAACTATTCCAAACCCTTCTACAAACACTACCCCATTTAGTAAATCAAGGTAGCCCATTGAGATGGGGTAAATTATTATAATTTTACAAGTTAGAAAATAAGTTAAAACTTGTCGAGTATTTAGTAGGCGTCAAGCTCTAAAGTTCCAGCCTTCTGCATTTCCCACACTGTTCCTACTGAAGCAGTGTTCTAGTTTTTAAAGTAATATTGGTATTATTCACTGAGCACTTGAGATGTGCTGCAAACAGTATTAACTGCTTAACGTACCTGTCTTCATTTCATTCTCAAGACAACCCTGGAAGATTGGAATTACCGTCCCCCTTTTACAGAGAAAAACAAGGCTCAGACGGGGCACGTAACGAGCCCAAGGTCACAGATACACAGTCAGTTAGAAACCAGGTTTCACTGCAAACCTCTCGTTCTACTTTAGAAACACTCCCGGTTCAAAGGACAAAACCAGAACCGTTTGCCGGGCAGGGGAACGAGGGGGCACTTCCGGGAGAAGTGGAGTCAGCGAGTGGTGGTAGACTGCGCAGGCCCAGCCACAGCAAGCTCGCGAGAGGATGCGACGGCCCCTGCCCAGTCCTCCCTGCCTGTAGACCACCTGGCTCCGCCCCACGCCCGCGTGTCCCAGGGAAAGTCCCGCCCCCACCTCTGGCCGGGCGGGAAGAGAATGCGCGCTCCCTCTCATTACCCTCCGCCTTCGGGGAGGGCAGAAAAGGCGGGAGGCGCGTGCTCGCGAGCTGCGTGCTCGCGTACGTCGCCGGAGTTCGGTTGCGTCTGTTCCGCCGCCCGTCCGTTGCCGCTGCCGCCGCAGCCGCGCTCTCGCTTTGCCGGCCGCCGCCTAACGGGGGCTGGGGCCCGGCCAAGCCGCCGCCGCCGTTGCCGGGATGCCGCGGGTGTACATCGGCCGCCTGAGCTACCAGGCCCGGGAGCGCGATGTGGAGCGCTTCTTTAAGGGCTACGGGAAGATCCTGGAGGTGGATCTGAAGAACGGGTAAGGAGGGCGGAAGAGGGACCGGCCTGGTGGGGACGGGGCCCCGGCTGTGGCGGGGAGGCCGCGGGGACGGGAAGGGGACCCCTGCCCGGAGAGGAGCTGCTGCCGGCTGCTCCCGCTCCGCCATAGTCGCGGCGCCTCGGGGGCGCGGGTAGGCCCCGGTTCCCAGTGCGCCTGCGCGGGTGGAGGTAGTGGAGGGATAATGGGAACGATGGTGAGGATCTGAGTGGGACCGGAGAAGGAAAACCCGAGTGGAGTTGGGGCTTTGGGCGGGAGGGAGGGCCCACCTCCAGCACGCCAGGGAATCCTGAGTTTTTCGTTTTCCAGGCCCCGCGTTTGGGGCCTGGTTGGTCTCTGGCCAGGCACCGACCTTTCCCGCTCTGAGGGCTGCTGGAACTAAACGAACAGGATTTCCTGCTCCCTTTTCAGCTCTTCCCCAGTTGATGGATCAGACGGTCATAACGCATCTTTTCCAGGGACGGGAGCTCAGGAGGGAGGTCCTTTTTAGGCCTCCCATGTGCCACGCTTTTTTGGGCGGGAGAATTGGATTTGAGTAGTCTAGTGACAGTTTCGAAAGGATCGTTTTGCGGTGCTGAAAACCTTTACCGTTCTCTCTACAAGGGTAAATTAAAGTCTTAACTTGTCTATAAGATTACTTACAGAGTTTCTATTCTGTGAATTCCGTTCTCCAACTTGCCAAAAAAATTGCTTTGTCGGTTGTAGGATTTGTTAGAGAACCATGTCCACCTAGCTCTTACCTGCGAGATGGGGACGCATAGTTCGAAATTGCTAACTAAGTGCCTCTCCGGCCGGGTACGATATGTTTCTTGTATTCGTGATCTGTTTTTGACAAAGCTAGGCACCAGGGGCTACAAGTTTCAGGGAAGGCAAACGAGGAATCAGGCCCGGAGAAGATATTCAACGGGGAAAACTGTGACAGCCAGGAAATGTTAGGACTTCAAAGACAGGGATGTAAAAAATAACAAGGGTTAGGGGAACATTTTAGGGTACTAAGCCTTGGGCGTTAGAGGAACTCTTGGCCTTTTTTTTTTTTAAGACCTACATTGCAACAGGTTTAATATGACTACAGCTTATCCCCTAGTGCAATACTAACAGCTAACACTTGAGAAGTTATGAAAGATATCTAAGTATAAGTTGCACATTTGAGAAAAATTGGTTGCTACCATATACTCAAATTGTTGGTTGTATTTAAACATTTCAAATTGATCCTTAGGAAGAATCACTTTAATAAGGAAAATGTTCTCAATAAAGAATTATGAATACTGATTTAGGGTAAAAGACAGGAAATTACTCATTTTGTACAACAGAACTTTCATTTTTTAAGGAATTTACTAGATGAAACAGATGGGTTAGTTATTGTGGTACATCTGAGAGCTCAAGTTAAAACCCCCAGTTTTCTTCAGAGCCCAACTAAGTCGACAGAATAACTGAATTTTGTGGAAAAGCATAGGTTTTGAATCCAGAGAGTCCTGGGTGAAAGCCTAGCTTTACCACTTATATTATAGGCAAGCTACTTTTCTAACTTTCCTCATCCACGAGGAAAAGGAAGATTATAGAGATAATGCTTATAAAGTATTTGGCATTTAGCTGTAAGTGGTAGCTGTATTCAAAGGATTTGACCGTGACCATTAGGAGATCTTAGTTTGTGAGGAATAACATGAAGCATATTTGGTGAGGTCTGTTTTCTAAAGTTAAAAAGTGATAGGAAGTGGTTCTGATGTGAATGGGAAAATCAGTTAATGGGACATATATGTTGGTAACCTACCAAGGTGTCTGCTACTGTGCAAAATGAAGAGGCAGAAAAACAGTTCTGAATAAATTGTTTATGGTTTTAACATGTACACTTTAAATTGAGAAGTGCTTGCTCTAGCTTTAAACTTAAGTAAAACTTGTAATGGTTTGTTTAAAGAGAATTTTTTGAAATGAGCTTTGAAGAACTGGGACTTGAAATAAAAGTGTCTGGGAATAATTTACGTCATAACTGGTGATGAGAAGGTAGTCCAGTAAGGAACAATTTTGAGAAATAATAAACAATCTAGCTTAGATTGAGTCTCATGAAGGATCTAGAAATTTAACAACATAAACCAGAAGCAGCAACTGTAAGATTTTACACTAACCATTCAAATCATGGTTAGGAATTCAGAACCTCTGGAGGGGAATAAATTGAGCAACCTGGGAAAGAGAAAGGACAGATCCTTCCAGGACCCTAAATGTCTGGGTCTCTTTTTGGGAACTATTCATTCTTACAGTTCTGCTGCCCATGATATGTGTGAAGTCTTTGATTGAGTCAAGGTTGAAATAATGAGTCGTAAATCATTTCGGGAATAAGAAGGCAGGTGTGACAATCACCAAGGACCTGCCTCTAGGCGGCATTCAGGAATCATTACCGAGGAAAATGACTTCTGAGCATCCGTATCAATGGTACGGATGGGTTGCAAGCAAGAATTGGCTGGACCAGATGGCAAAAGTGCAGAGGATCTGAAAGGAAGGAGTAGGTACACAACTAAAAGATGACATAATTTAGCAACAGTGTGTAAGTTTATAGTCCTGCAAACTAAGGATAGTAGATCTGCATAGGAAGCATTTTTTAACGTACTTGGATTTTAATTATTAGTAATTGAAACTCAGAAGATTTTAGATGGTGAGGGCTTTGAAGAATCGCTAGAATTCAGATTTGTAGAAGTGAGATGCGTCAGTAGACAGTAGATAGATTAAGCTAAGGGGTTATGGGTGAAGTTGAGAATTAATTAAATGGGTATAGAGTACTGGTATCATACAAAATTGACCCAGTGAGGAAGCAGGTGAGCTCTCCAAAGGAGATTTAGCATACAGGAAAGGATTTTATAGAGCCTCTTGGGATTTAGCGAAACAGTGTATATGCAGTAATTCATTACCTGCCATTTTATTGTACCAGGACGCCTAATGTAGATTGCCTTTGTTTCAGAGAGCTCCTAGAAAGATGGTTTCAGTTTGGAACCACAAACACAATGCAGATTTCCCAGAACTAAACAGATCACTCCAGATCCCCTTAGGTCTCCTGCATTCACACCTGCCACACTAAGTCCACATTGGACCAGAAATGGAAGCAAAAATGTTAGTAGCACCTGTTTATAACCTTGCAACATGGTAACTTTTGCTGCCTTTAATTATTTGTAAATTCTGTGGGGTTTCTATTTTATTAATCACTTCATGTAAAGTGTAGAAGGTTCTTTTAATACACTAGGTTTTTTTTTTTTGCCACAAAATCTTGTGGTTTCAGTCACAGATCTTTATATTTTTATGTTTCCATATTTTAGTTAATTAATATAACTTACCACATCCTAATCATATTTTACTTGCCTAGTAGCTGGACAGGTAAAACCCCCAAATAACTTTTTTTTAAGTTGGTTAAAGTCATGAATTAAAATTCTCCAAGGGAACTTGACTACAAGTTTTAAAACCTGTGTTTCATACCAGTGAAATTGTGAAAACTGTAAATAGCCAGACTTTTCAGGGAGTGTCCTGGTCTGTTTAATTGGATTTTCCTGATATCAGGAAGTTTTTGTTTTCACCATTGTGAAAAAATTCCTTCAAGCAGAAGGCACCTTGGTTAATTTTTTAAGCATTTTAAAACTGTGTCATGAGTCAAATCAATGTTCTGTTTGTCCCTGATCACTGTAGGGCATTGTTAGGCTTTAAAATTGGAGATGAATCTCTGCCAACCTCCCAACTTAATTGGGGGGTTTTCTCTTTTGACTGAACCCTTGATGGGAGCTTGTTTTTTTTTGTTCGTTCTTTGTTTTGTTTCATTTTTTTTTGTCTTTTAGAGGGGCTATAAAGGTAATACAAAAATATAATTAATGTTCCAGGTTATTGGTTCCTGGTTAATTGACCCATTAGTTTATTCGTAATCATGCAGGAGATTACCTTCACCCACCACCAAATAGCAGGTAAATTCTTTATCATTTTTATTATGATGATACAACTAATTGGTGGCAAGAATGACAAAGAAAAAAGCCCACCACTCTCCCTCTAAGGACCCTACCACCTTTTTGTTCATGGGCAGTTCTGCCCTCAAAAATAATCACATTTGAACCCACATGTACCAAACTTTGAATCTTTGTGTTAAGGAAAATAAGGCGTTTGGTTCTAGGTTTAATTTTATGATTAAGGAGAGATTAAAATACAGTTGCGTGTAAAGGAGCATTTGAACAACTCTTTATAATAGTTAAAATTAAAAACCCATTCTGAATTTATATGACATTTCAAAATAACATGTATTATTTCTGATTATAAAGTTTACATATGTACTATAAAAAATTCTTAAATATAGAAGACAAAAATAATCCCTCCAGGATGGCACTGCATTTTGAAACATTGCCTTTTCCATGTGCACACACTTCTTATGCCTCTTCCCCTTTTTTACAATCAGGCTGATGCTGTATATTCTCTTTGGTGAGCTTTTGTGCCTGCCCAACAGCCTGATCCTTTCCCTTGTCATGTAGTGTTCTCCAGCAATCTGATTCTTATTGGTTTCATAGTATTTCCATATATAAATGATATTTAATGTACATAATTAAAATGTTGTAAGACATTTTGGTTGTCTTTGTTTTTTTTAGCTATTTTATACATTTATAACACTGGTAAATATCCTTTATGTAAAATTTTATATACTCTTCTAGTTATTATTTTAGGACAGATTCCTGAAAGTGTACTTTTAGAGTCAAAATACATGTACATTTTTAAGACTTTTTTTTTAACCTACTAGTTTTCATTATTCTTTAGACAAGTAGTATTTATTTATATTTTCACTGGCCATGTTTAAGTGTTCCTTAAACTCTGTTCCTTAAATAATTTCCCTGAAGTTTCTCAATTTTTTAACATTATATGATATTTTTAATTAGAATTTTAGGATTATATATGAGGAAGTTATATTGAGCCTCCCAGGCATAACAGATGCAAGAAGTTAGACAAATAAAAATAAACAACTGATTAGAAAATAAATATAGGTTCATCATAGATAATTTAGATAATACCATAAGCATAAAGTAGAAAAGCAGTGTCATTAAAAATCCTTTTAACATAGGCAAGCTCTTGTGTGCAATTTTGTCTCATTTTTTTCTTCTAGCATGTATTTTTTCTATTAAAATTTTTTTCACAAATATTTTAATGGCTGCATAAAATCCATTGTATGGCTATATCATGATTTGCCCAACCATTCCTCCTAGATTATCTCAAAATTCTTACCGTTAAATAAACACTGATGGGTATCATGTGCATAAAACTTAGTTTACATGTTTATTATTCCTTAGGACAGACTATATGTCATAAGATTCATGTGTTGCAGCACATGATACCAATTTCAAAGCTCCCAATACCAAATAACTTTGAGTAAAGCCTCACCAGGTACACCTGTACCAGCAGTGTATGAGCATATCTCTTGTGGTGCCTCACCAACATTAAGCATATTGTTTAAAAATCTTTGCATATTTAACAGATGCAAATGGCCTCATGTGTTTTCACCATGAAGTTTTTCTTAAACAAACAAGAAATAATGAGAATAGAACTATGGATGAAGTAGTGTGACATTACAGATTGAGACCTAGTTGGAGTCTAGTTGAAATCAGCCTGCCTTCAAAAAGATTTAAGTATTTTACTCTTTTATTCTGAGACATTGGTAATTTTTTGAATTTCTGTCATTTTGAAAAATCAGTGCCGGGAGACAAGACCATATGTGACTTTGACCAAATGTTACTAGCAAAAATTGACCTGGCTAAAGACTTACACTCCATGGTCCTGGTTTCCCAGTCAGTTTGTTATAAGAATAAATATTATCTGTAATTCTTTGGCCAAGTCATTTTAAACCCCTATTCCTCATTTCGGTATCTTGCTTCTCCCACATTGAGGTATATATGAATCAAAGGACCATGTGAAGTATTTGTCCCTTCTTAAAGACAGGTACAGGGTGTAAGCTAGATAAAATGTGATTTTGATTCCCATTATTTTGGGATGCTTCAGAGTAGCCTAAACAGAATTGTATTTTGAGTTCCTCCAACAAAGGTGCTCCACGTATCCAAGAGAATACTATTGGGAGTGGTATTTATAAATTTGTCAGCTAACAGTTAAATTTTTAAACTTTAGAATGTATTAATAGCATGCATTTGTATGATTTATTTTTCAGCTGCATATATCAAAGCAAATGTGTGGTCTCTAGTTTGTACTGATGGAGAAACTGAGGCATGGGGAGATTAGTCATTGTCTCAAGGCTACAGAATGAGTTATTGACAACTCTGGAAACTGAAGACCTTTCTTACTCACATACCAGATACAGCATGGGCAGTGTCAGTCAAGCTTCTCTCCTGCTGTGTCCTTTCAGATGGTTCAGCCCTATCCTTTTGGGACTTGGTCTCCAAGGGTAAGAAGGTAGTTCATGGTCCACAGCCTGTCAGTCTGTCTGCAGAGGCCTCCGACAAGCTGACAAGTTATTGCCAGAAGGGAGGCGGGTGGTACTTTTTTTGACACTGGCCCTGAGCAGAGACTGCTAGTGATTCTCCTCTTCTGACTACCCTTTGAAGAGCTGTATGATGGGGATCAGCTTGTCATGATTGACCAGAGTAGGATTTGTGGAGTAAATGCAGTAAGTGATCTCTGTCCCATTATTATTGCTAAGACTGATCTGGGAGCACCCCAAAGGCGAGGGATCGGATTGTGCTCTGAAGATGCATACCCGTATGTGAGGAAATGCCCTACATGACCATTCCTGTGTATTGAGATGAAAGTCTAGACGTCTCTGAACTGCAAATGATATTTGAAGAAACACTTAAAGGACATTTGTTATCCCTCTGCCAAGTTCCCTAACCATGTCTTTAGGCCTAGATGCCAGGATGGGGATCTTAGTAAACAGGGACCTCCAAGACCTAGAGAAGCGGGAGGCTGATGGAGGGCTATTTGAATTCAGCTTTCAGAAATAAAAAAGGTGAGCAAGAGACTCAGGTTCAGAAGTCAGGAACCACAGATCAGTTAGGGAGTCAAAAGCCCTGACTTTGAGAAAAGTTATTCACATGGGTGAAATGAAGCTTTTAAAGAATTTGAAAAATATATTAAAAATTGAATGGCAGACTTCAAGGAAAGGCCATCCCCAAGAAATAGCATAAGAAGTGGCATCTTTAGCCAAAAAGAAAAAGAAACTTAACACAGCCCAGGGACTGTAGGTGGTTGTGAGGGATAATGGGAACAACCAAGACGGTCTCACTCCAGAGGCATAACCTCTAAGAGGCTTTAACACCTTTTGCCCATTCGTAGTGTCAATTTTAGAGGTAAGTATGAGATGGTTTGGTGTGTGGATTTGATGTGGAATCAGATAGTGCTGTCTGCTGAATATAAACCTTTATTTCGTTAAATACAAGTAACAGATATAGTAATTATATCTTATGTCCCAAGAGTTTTATTCTGAATTGGTAATAGTACTTTAATCTCTTGAGGAGGTTTGTGTGTGTGTTTTGTTTTGTTTTAATTTGTGGTTGAGTGTTTGTGAACTTGAGTGAGTCACCACAAAATACTTGACCCCTTTTCATGTAAGACCTTTTAATTTCATCTATCTTAGTGTCAGTAAATGTCAAAAAGTGGTTGTGATTGTCCTCCCTTTAAAGAAAGCATCCCTGGTGACTTTAAAATGTTAATGTATTTGATTATGATGGTTGTGATAATTTCTGAGGACAGTCACATTTTATAGGATAGAAATAAGGTGGCAGCCTAAAAGTGAAATGGCAACCTTAGTTCATTTTTGAAGCAGTTTTGGGTAGTTGAAACAAATTGGCAGATAGGCCTATAGAACAGTTAAAAGTAAGACTAAGCTTGAACCTGATACAGATTTCTCTCTACTTCCTACTGTTCTCAAGGAATTTTATTTTACTTACTTTTTAGGATAAGGATCATTTCTATTCTATTTTCCTCACCCCAATATATGAATATTACTTTAAGAATAAGCTGGTATTTTCTTAATGATTTGTTACATTTCTCTATTTTCCTAGACTGGTGTTAAACTTTTGATAGTTAATTTATAGGTTTGGTTCACTAGTAGCTTAGAAAATAAATAAGTGCTCACATCTTATTAGAATTAGTACACATCTGATGCAGAAATGTTACTTTTGCCATTTAACATTCCCCATACAGTGCTAATCATGTGGACATTTATCTGCCACAGCACATAATTTGGTAAAACTAATTTTCTGTGCTCCTAGAGCTCGTGTTTCTCGAAGTGTGTGTACTGTTAGGGATCACTTCTTTCCATTGCTATATAGGAGACAATAGAACATGGTGATGGAGTATTGATTTTAGGTCAGGACCTGGGTTTGAAGAATCCCAGGTGTTGAGTAGCCTTGGCAAGTTACTTGACTGCTCTAAGACGTGGTTTCTTCATCTGTGAATTAACAGTAAACTTCACAGTTATGAAAATTCTTATAAGGGAATTTGAAGAAGGAATGAGTCTTGGTAGACTGGAATAGTCATGTTAATTAATAGTAGTTAGGCATCTAAGATCTGATTTAATTCCAGTCATTTGCAAAGTACTTTTCTGGTTGCTGCTATAATCCTTGTATAGCTGGAAGTCTATAAACCTTGTAGTATTCTTTAATTTCTGGTCCATTTTTTTCAATACCATTTTTGCTTATATTTATATTTTTTGGTCCCAGTCACCATTCCTTACAAAACTAATTAAATGCATTCTTAAATGCATAATATTATCCATATCCATTCACATCCACCACCTCTAGGACCAACTCTCTGTCATCTCTTTGCTGGTCTAATTTTTGCTGAACCTTAGAACCAAAGACAGATTCCAGGGGTTGATATGGGACCTCCAGAATGGGGATTGCACAGAATAATCTTATTTTTCCTCTATTCTTCTAGTCTGTTATGTTCTGAACCCACACATGTTTTCGGAAGGACCAGATGGCTGACACTGGCTAATGGGAACCAAAAGACGAGTGAAAGTAACCTGGTTGTCACATACCCCAAGCTTAGAGGTGCTTCACCCTGCCCAGGATCAAATTCTTTTTTTTTTCTGGAAACTATACACCACTGTATCAAAAAACTTAATACAACCTGGCTTATTTGAGGTTAGATTATCAAGTCAAGCAGCAGCACTTGTTGAGTGAAAAGGGTTGACTGGGAGAGAAGTGTCTGCCTTTACAGAGGCAGCATAATTTGTGGTTAAGAGCTTGGGTTTTGGAGTCAGGTAAATCTGGGTTCAGATCCAGCTACACCACTTAGGAGCTCCTTGACAGGCAGCAAATTGCTTAGCCCCTAGAAGCCTCAGTTTCTCATTTGTAAAATGGGAACAATAATAATAGTAGTAGTACATTCTTCACAAATGATATGAGGAGTGAATGAAATGCGTATAAATTATTTACTGTGTGCCAGGCACTATGCTAAATAGTAGCCTTTATCATTACAGAAAGCATAATCAAATGAGAGGATAAGCACAAAGAAAATGAAAGGCCACAAAAACATTTTCATGTAGAACATAAAATTGAATAGAAGTGCTAAAGCTAAAGAAAGTGCTAAATATTTAGAATCAGGTGAATTTTCTGAGATTTCATGGAAGAGGAAATTCTTAAGTCTATGGAATAAGATTGATATGATTCACTTTGTGTTATCAAGGCATTCAGGTTTAGAGAATGATATTTAGGAGTCATTATACACCCCTGTGCAAAATAACAGTATAGCAGCTGACTTTCCCTGCTACATGTTAAGAGACAAACTGACAAGTAAAAATGAACTAAGTATATACTAGAATTAAGTAAATTGATGAACAGGAAGAAGACAGACTTGAGCGGCAAAATGAGAAAACTGTAGAACCAGACAATAGACTGAATGGGCAACCGGAAAGGAATAGTCAGAGGTGATGACTAGGCTGTTGGGCATGAGTTAGATGATCAGGGATCCAGAAGAGAGAAATCATGAGGTAGGTTTTCTTCTTTGAAGGTGGGGAAAGATCAGGTGCAGACTGAGCTGTGGCCAACGTTTGCTGACCAGGAATCCACACTAGCTCTAATCAGAGAGCTCTTGGTGTGCGGAAACTGCCAGTTTGCCGACGTGAAAAGAGCCCCAGACTGGGGACTGGTGAGCCCTGAAGTCGCACCCCAGCTCTGCCACTCAGTGAGCACGGGTAAGTCATCCACCTCCTCCGGGTGGCCTTGATGGCCCTCCCTCCTCTGAGGCTAAGGAAGGGGAGGCCCGAATGCCCACAGCAGCCTCCTTCCTGTCTCAGGACCGGAAAAGATCTCAGGAACCTACTTGATGTTGTAGGAGCTCCTAAATGTGGGTTCTAAATAACCCTCTGTTACTGGGAAAGTCAAAATGCAGCCATAATCAATGACCCAGAGCAGTGAACATGTGCATTCGTCAGTTCTGCTCAGAGGCCCTGACCACTGCTTCCCTGGAATGTTGCAGACCTTTGGAATCAGGGGCAGTTCTCACTCACTGAGTTGGCCTCACCTAAGCGCTAGAGAGTTGGTTGCAGAGTGTCTTTCTGCAGTTTTCCCATCAAGGGTGACTTTTTTATTACTGTCCTGTCAGTATGTCCTAACATTTTTCACTTCATAACACCTAGTTTGCTGAAGCATTGAACCCATACTGAGTGGTTTGAAAGAAAGCTGTTTGATTCCTGTTCACTGAATGCTGTTTCTTTCAGGGTAGAAAGGGTTCTGCCCTTAAAGTACAGAGCTATTGACCCTAGTTTGAGGGTTCAAGCCACCCCATGGGTTAATTTCAACAGATGAAAATTTTTCCTTGGCTACAGCAACATCCCTAATCCTGACCAGCCATGGAGAGGTTCGGTTCTTACAAGGAAAATGAGTGAATGTGGGAATGGCTCACCACATTGGGAAAACAAAACTCACATCCTGCTGATGGTTGGCTGAGGACTGTCATGTTCATATACAAAGAAAAGCATGTGGCACAGTTTTAGGACAAAGGTGAGCAGAGATCTACTGTGGAAGGGCAAATTTTTCTCATAGAGAGAACATCCAAGGCATGCCCCCTCGGTAAGCAGTGTTGGGGGGTGACCACAGGCACACGCTTGGAGGCTTGCTTTCCCTTGCTCCTCATAGGCACTCCCCACAGTTACGCTGGTATTGAGCACCCTTAGTCACGCCCTGCCCAGTTAGCCACCAATCAGCATACCCCCAGAACAAGTCATGCTCATCATTTTTCAGGCAGGACTTCTCTCCATCTTCCTGTTCTGTGAAGATGTTTGGAAGGCAGAGATGACCCTAAGCCATTCCAAAAGGGGAAGGAGATAAACTCCATATCCTCCTCAGCGGAACATACAGAGTGGTATTTTAGACCATCGGTATAGGTTGTTAGGATCAGGGAAAGTCTGACTAGCAGCAACACAAGCTCAGGTAATAATTCTTCTTGGGTGAAAAAATGTGGTTACCATTTCTAAAACTGAAGTCTTGGAGTGCTTTAGTTTTAAAGACATGTCATTCTAGTCCTAGCATTTTCAGAGTTCTGACTAATAGCCTGAGCAATACATGCACTGCTGAATGAGGAAGACCAGAGCATTGGCAGCCGTAGAAAAATGGACTCAAGTTTACAACAGCCCACATAATTCAGTGTGGCTTTTGTTTGTGGTACTTGTCTGTACTTGGTAAGACTCACAGAGCCACTTTATTTAGGGAGAAAATGACAGGAGCTCCTCTCCCGTCATTTTTTGACCAAATTTGTCAGGATAAAACATGACCCAGGTGAGAAGAGTTTAGGAACAGAAAATAGCAGTGAAATGTTGAAGCTCTTCTTTTAATAAGAAAGTAGTGTACATTCACTAGTTTAGGCCATGCTTTTGTTCTTTGACAAAGCGGGGTTGAAAGACATGGCATCTGGGAGTCCACAGGAGGAAGCCCAATGTAGGTAGGGTTCTTTATTTGGTTTTGTTTTTATCAATCTCTGCCATAGAGAGATTTTTTAATTGGTCTTCAACTCATTCTACTGAATTCCTTCATCATCTTCATGCTCGTATTAGAATTATGGAAAAATGGTCATTTTTAGTAGAGCAGAAGAGGAAGGATGTTTGCAGCTAGAATTAAATGTATCTGTTGGGTTGTGTTTGTGAGACTTACAGGTCACAGCAGAGATATGTATACATATATACACATATGCTGGCACACATAGTGTGTGTACATGGCATGTGTGTATTTTATATCCCTCCTTACTTTGATGAAGGATTCAAAAGGAAAGTACTTGGGCAAAGAGATTCATTCCATGTTTGCTGTAAAGCACAAAGAGATGTTATGATCCATTTAGAAAGATTTACTGATGTTAGTTACCAGGGAGAGCTTTAAAAGGTATTTTAGGTTATAAAAATTAAATTCATCCCTCTCCATTGCCATTGTTGTATACCTCTGGTTCTAACATACCGGTTTAAATTATCCAATTGTTGAGTCAGAGGAGGACTAATTTTAACATTTATGTATCATACTTTTGATGTTAGAGGAAGCCATAGAGATTGCTAGTATAGCTCCTTCATTTCACAGATAAACTAAGACCCAGAGAAATAAAATGATGTGAATGTGCTTTTCAGAGTTGATTTATAATAGAACCTGGACTAGAATCCAGGCTGTTTTTGCTACTTCAGACTTAATAGTTACAAGTCTGAGTTCTGGAGTCATACCACAGGCTCTAAGTGCCAACTCTGCCATTTTATTGTGGCAGTTATTTACCATTGTGTGCCTCAGTTTCCTCATCTGTAAAACAGAGATAACAGTACCTGGCTTAAGTGTTGTGAATATTAAAGAAGATAATGTCTACCATGTAGAGATTACATAATAAAATGTTCAGTAACATTTTATTGTTATTATCTAGTCAGTTCCTGTCTTATTTGGGGAACCCATTCACTCTACTTATTGAATGAAATAAAATCAGTCTTTAAGAAAAGCAGATCTAAATAAACAATAATGTGATAGAAGCAGCCACACTGCTCTGGTCTTTATTTGCTCTCAGAACAGGAGTCTCTATCATACATGGTTTGTGATGCAGGAGGATGTTTGGTTTAATCTTCCAAACCCAGCATGTCAGTATGTCAGTGGCAGAGAAGTGACAGTCAGGTGCCTGATTTAGTCCTTGGACTGGGACTTCAACATTAAAATGTCTCAAATAGGTTTTATGGCTTTTCACAGAGGAGCAGCCAAAATTTTTCTGTGAAATATTTTGATATCAAGTCAGCTGTTTTAATAAGTGACTTGGACTTCCCAAAAATATGACTACTAAGTGACCCTCTTGTTGGGACTTTTTGGAAGTAAATATTAGGAAAGATTGTAGGGGCCATTTTCCTCTAATAGCACAAATTGGCCTCTGCAACTCAGGGAAGAATTTTAATGCCAAGTTATACTTTGCTTCAACCTCAGCTGCCAAAGAAAAAATAGGTCTGAGCATTAATTAATTTTTGGTTTTAAATAATTGTGCCTCCACTCAACAGACTGTCATTTTCCCTCAGAGATCAGACTGAGTTCTGCATGCAAGCCTTGGAACAGAATGAGCATGTACAGAACGATCTTTGAGTCTGGGAGAATACATTACCACATAGGTCTGACTTACAAGCATCTCTTGTTATTAACAGAAGTTTGGCTTTCTATTTCAGATGACTTGCAGAGCATAGTCTTGCATTCTCTGACCCCATAGTAGTTGTAAACCCTAGTTATTTTGAAGGAATCTGTTTGGACGTCCGTGTGATTTATTTGTTTAGTCTTCAGGAGTCACTGTTGTCCTTCTGACATCACATTGGATGAGTTAGAGTTATTGAGTGGTGCTGAGCCAGTATGTAATTGTTAGAGGGGAGTAGAGGCCATGTCATCATGTCTGTGGAATGTTTCCTCATCCCTCTCTCCTTGGCATCAGGCTTTCATATGATGCCAAGAGCAGTGATAACTGTGGGCAAAGCAGACTTGTGACCAGACTTGACAACTAAGTTAAAGAAGGTGCTTTTAGGGGCAGGGGAGTGTTTTATGGTCTGTTCAGAAATAAACGAAAGAAAGAAGTAGTTAGGGTTTTTATTATTATTATTATTTGCTTTTTACTTACTTGTCTCTAAAAATGAGTTTAATTTTCCTGATTATACCCCCTCTGTTTAAGAAAGGAAAAAGCAGCTGCAGTACATTATCTATTACAGATTTCTGATGACTGTAAAGCACTTTAATAGTGATTTGGAGAGACTTTCCTTGCTTTGTCAAATACGGCGTAATGTTCAAAATCATTCTTATTAAGCTGCTCAGCAGTTCCAGCCTGTGGAAGCATGAAACCATGTTTTAAAGACTTCATATCCCATTAACTGAGCCAGGTGGCTTCTGAAACGTGCCACTGCAGCTCTTTTCTCATTAAAGAACTGTGTGTGCCTATGTTAGATTTAAGTGACTCTGAAGTTTGCCACTCAGAAGTTTCGCACAAAGAACCCTCCCAAGTTGTTAGCTGTACATTGTCACCCTGAGAGACTCTTCTTTGTAAGGCTCTCTTTAGTAAACGAAGTATTCTGCAACTATAAGTTCTCTCATTGACTTAAAATGTTGCTGAGTACAGCATTACCATGCTAAAGAAACTGGAATTATTTTGACCAGGCTAGATCAACTTCTGGCAAGTCTTGTAACCTGTTTTTAGTTCCCTGTGTTTAAACATAGAGAAACAGTAGTTAGTATGTCTGCGAACACAGCTTTTTTTTTATAGAGTTTAAAAACATTGCTTGTAACTTTCCCTTGTGATTAAGTATGATCATTAAGATGGTGTGGGTTTTTAAATACAGGCAGTGGTCGCAAAGCTAGATTTCACAGCTGTGTTAGACCAAACTAAAAGTTTCTTGTAAGTTTATAGGACATTTGTTTAACCTTGCTTATAAGTATCTTACAAATTTTGCACTTCAGTTTTATAGATTGTACTCTTTAACAGGCATTTATAAATAGGATTTGGGTGGGGGCGGGGAGGGGTGTTTTCTTTCAGATGTACATTAAACCACCAAATCTCTGCTGGGAAATTCCTAGCAATACTGTGTAAAGAAGTTTGCAGGGTTGTATATAGATCTTAGAGAATTCCAGCCTACCTAAAACCTCATGGAAATGAATTTGGAGTATTCATGAGGAAGTGGTGTATGTAGCTCCACTTTTTTTCCCACTGATAACTTCTAGAACAGTTAATTCACTTGTAACTCATTTGTTTAGGTAAAGAACAGGAACTTAAAACAATTTTCTTTCACAGGGGAGATTGAGGAACTGTGATTTTTTTTAAATTGGTATATTATTCCAAACATAACTTTACAGTTAAGACACAGTGCCCAAATGTAGGTCTAACTGTTCTCTAAGATACCACTTTTGGGCTAACACTAAAAAACATGAGTGTTTATGTGATTTGAAAGAGCAAATAGTTTTGTAGAATTATGTATTTTGACACCTTATATCACGCACCCCAGTGGAGGTCTTTGCAGGTAACACCAACTACTTGGGTAACAAAAGAACTGGTCTCTGTGTATTTAGCCAGCCTTCTACTAGAAAGACAGGAGTCTCCTTAATGCTCTTGTGGTGCCTATTGGCACAAAGCAAAGTTGTCTCAGCTTAAAGGGAATAGAAAGCTGATCCTTAGTTTGCAAAACCCACCTAACCTTTGCCAAGCATGAATCTCATTGCTTTCACTTTAATGTTAGTGAAGCTTGATGTCAGAGTGGTGCCAACCAGGATTTTGTTTGCTCTCTTCTAGGTATGGGTTTGTGGAGTTTGATGATCTGCGTGATGCAGATGATGCTGTTTATGAACTGAATGGCAAAGACCTTTGTGGTGAGCGAGTAATTGTTGAGCATGCCCGCGGCCCACGTCGAGATGGCAGTTACGGTTCTGGACGCAGTAAGCATTTAAAGGGCATTTGTATCAATAGACATGCCTTTGTTATTAAATGTTAATTTTTTAAGTAATTAATTAATGTTATTTGAAATGTACTGATATTTAACCCATTTGTTTTATAAATTATGTATCTTTTAATGTAAATTGCAAATATATTTGATAATGTTTAATTTTAATTAAATTAATGACATAAATTTCTTGTTCTAATACTTTATAAATATGTTTAATGATGTGTGTTTGTGTTGTTTTTTTTCTCTGTAATGCAATTGTTTAACATAGATTTAACAAAGACCTCAATGTTTTAATTAAAAGAATCCTTTGAGGCTAAGATGACTGCCTGTTCCATTTGCTGACCTTGGGTTACCTTTCCATGCGTGGCTCTTTGAACCATTGTGGCCCTTGGCTGACCAAAAACAGGAAGCCATGTGACGACCGCAACCTTTCCCCATTAGACCTGGGTGGTGAGGATCCCAAGGGTTAGACACAGATGAGATTAAACTGAAATAGGTGCCTGAAAATCTTTTTTTTCATATAAAATATTCACAAAAACTTTAATCACTGTGAGTAACACCAGTAACCGATTTAGTAATTTGGTTACTTATTTCTAAATTGTTAATAGTTTTAATTTGTGCATGTTAATTTTAAATATAAATATTAATGAATATATATACTTACAACTTTGTAAATTAAATTTTATTGTTTAGTTGATTGCTTTTTTTAAAAAAAATCTAGTTTAAAATTAAGGGTGGGGATAGAAATAAAATATATGTACAATTTGGGGTGGGGGGAAATGGTATACTTAAGGGAATGTGTGCTGTCATCATGTTTTCCTTTTCCTCCACTGAAGTAATCTTATCTATTTGAACCTTCCAAAGGTGGATATGGTTATAGAAGAAGTGGCCGAGATAAATATGGCCCTCCTACCCGCACAGAATACAGACTTATTGTGGAGAATTTATCAAGTCGGTGCAGCTGGCAAGACCTAAAGGTTTGGGCTCCCCTTAACCTTTTGGAATAATGTTGGACAAGAGTTAGGGTTAGGAAAGAGATAATTTTGTGCAGGCCCAGGCATACACAGAATGTAATGGTACTATGTTTGAAGGCTTTCCCAAAGCATTTGGAAATTCCCCAATTAAAGGTTCCATAGAAGTACAAAAGACATGAATCTCACTACTACTATATGTTTAGGACATCACTCAAAGGACACACATCTAAGGATGTTATGTGGGATTTTCCATTGTAGAGAATGTTTTAGGAAGATGCTAGTGTAGTTAGTGCCTCCCCAACTACAGAAAAGGTTGGAACCACCAGTGTTTCTGTAACATGAGTTGTAATGTGCAAGTTTTTGTCAGCTTCCAGGGATGTCCTCATGGGAGAAAAGTACCGTCTGACCCGTGCTCTTCCGTGATGTTTGTTTTTCACAGAATATTTGTCCTGAAAGTTTTAATGTTAAAAATTAAGGTCCATTTCTGTATTTACCATTAGGTGTACAGATACCACCTTGTTTTCTGTGAACAGTGTTGATTTTTAATCTCAATAGGGAAGAAAGACTTAGGGAGTAGTGCCTTAACCAAGCAGGTGTCAGGACCCATATAAAGGATATTCAGAATTTCCTAGCTAAATGAGTGAGTATATTTAGTTTCAGCAAAAAGTAGTCAGGAATCCTTTAGATTGCTGTAGTTTTAGCTTTTCAAAGCACTTCTACAGCTTTGCTTTGCTTTTTTGAATTTGCTTTTTAGATAACAAAGACAAGATCCAGAAAAGATTAATTCACACAGTTGGTCTTAGCAGAAGAGCTGAGACTAGGACATAAGCTGGTGTTTTTTCCTAGTATGTTGTGTTGTTTGTCAGCAGAGCAGGCCCTTACTGAGTGTCTGCCAGCAAGACTGTTCGCTAAAGGAATGAATCCAGTATTCTGAGAGTTAGGGTTGAACATTTGGGTAGGAAGGCTTTTTCAGACTTTTGTTTAAAATGGAGCCTAGCCAATGTCCTCAGTTGGTTTTATACCTCTGTACCTTTGGTAGTTTCACTCTTAGGAGAGTAGTAGAGCAGATCTAGTAAGTCAGCACAACCTCAGGAGCAGAGAGAGCTCTGAAGCCCACCTGCCTGGATTAAATCCCAGCTCTGCCACTTACCAGTTATTTAACTTTAGCAAGTTACTGTCTTGTAACTTTATTCCTCAACTATAAAATGGGATTAATAATCTTTACTACTCAAAAGTTATTGTGAAAATTGAATCTATTTTTATATAAAAAGCCTAAAAGGATCCTGGCACAATGTTATCTATTTGATCTATTGATCAAAGAAATGCAAAGGTAAAACAGACTTAAGAGATATGGTTAGTTTTTTTAATGTGTAAATTCGTAATACCCAATGATAATGTTGAGATGATATTTACATAGTAGTTTTGGAAGCACTGAGAATTAGTAATTAGACCCATTGTGTGGGGTAGCAGTTACTTAGGTTCTGAAGTCTGGCTGCTTATGTTCAGTCACTGGCTCATTCACCTAACTACCTGGATGACCTTGAGCAGTTTACTCAATATTTCTACATTTCACTCTTCCCTTAATGTAAAATAGGAGTAATGATTGTATCTGCCCCTTGTGGCAGTAATGGGACTAAAGTAATTAAATGATACACATCATATACTAAACATTCATAGTCAGCTGCTGTTACTATTAATTTGGAAGTACGGCCATACAAATTACAAGTATTGACATTCCTCAAGCCCTTTTACTAGCGTTATCGGATATCTCAGCTTGCCCAGCACAGTACCAGTCATGGCGTAACTTAGTCGCATCTTCATTCATTTTCATATATGTCCAGATTTGGGCTCCAAGCCTTTTAACCCAGAACCCCTATTCCTGCAAATAATTCAGTTGAAGTAAAGACATTTTTGTATGAAGATGTTCATTGCTGGATTATGAATAATAGCATAAGACTATATATAATCCGAAAGTCCCAACAAGTGGGAAATCCTCAGGAAAAGTATTGGGCACACTAATTAGAAGATTGTGTATGTTAAGACATGTAAACATTTTATAAGCAAAGAAGTCATATCAGATGGCACATGTTCAATGTTTGTAACTTTGTAAAATATGGATAGGAAGGCAATAACAATTCATTTGTTAAAGAAATGGGAAATTAGCCAAAAGTCCCTAAATTCTAAATGTATCCAAATTTGATTTTCTTTTCAAACATTAATCATATCTCCTCTTACTTATCTGTTACTTTAGTATTTATCTAGAATGTTAGTTATATTGTCTCCTTAGATTATGTTAAGTCCTCAAAGAGAATGAGGGAAGGGGCATACAGTAGTGAAGGGACACGGGAAGTCATGCCTTTGAAGCCAGAGCTGGATAGTACTATTCTGTTGCCTTTTTGTCTTTGATTTGTTTTGAAGAGATAATATAACAATTTTAAATAAAATCAAGGTGGTAACTCCATAATCCTTCATGAACTTACTTGCATTTTACCTTAGATATATGTCAATATCTGTACATTTTCAAACAAGGATTTACAATGAAATGTAAAAGACCTAACTTAAATGTAGTGACATGAGCTTCTGAAGCTCCTGTAAACCAAGAATTTGCCACTATAAAATTTAGAAAATGATAGGTATAAATTCATATGGGATTTATTAAAATAACAGTTAAATACTACCCACCTACTGCCTGACGCCTTAAAGAACCTCAGTAAGAGGTTGGCATGTAGATGGAAATATTTTCAGAGTAAACTTTATTCTGAGGAAGACTGGCATTTCGTCCTAAAGGAAAGAAAAAACTTTCATTATGATGATCGCATTAGATATTTCAAAAAATGTGTCAACTTATTCGGGAATTTTTTTTCTTTATAGGATTATATGCGTCAGGCAGGAGAAGTGACCTATGCAGATGCTCACAAGGGACGCAAAAATGAAGGGGTGATTGAATTTGTGTCTTACTCTGATATGAAAAGAGCCCTGGAAAAGTTAGATGGAACTGAAGTCAATGGCAGAAAAATCAGATTAGTTGAAGACAAGCCTGGTTCTAGACGACGCCGGTCCTACTCCAGGAGCCGGAGTCACTCAAGGTACTGCTGATGTCTTTGTGTGTTGGAGTTTGCTATAAATTCATTAAAAAGTACATAGATAGGTAATCCATTTTCATTCTTCTGTTGAGTTCTCAGTAATATGGGTCCATCCGGTTCAGTAACTCAGAACTTTGAACTGAACATTTATTTGTAAAACTCTTGATCTGTTATGTCATGAGTATAAACAAAAGAAAAATCCTTTCTCTGAGGTAGACATCAGTGCCCTTGTTTCATGTTTCCTCTTGGTTTCCCCAGGTCACACCTTATTGGGAGCAAACAGGCCACTGGTCCCTTGCTTCCCCATCAGATATTCCTGACTACTTGGGAGTAGAGACTGGAGACTGTCTTATTTGACAGCTGCTCTACAAATGGGCCAGGCACTTGTGAACAGGACAGATGTCTGTGCTCATGACATTCAGTCTAGTGGAGAACAGGCATTGAGCAAATCATTACCATTGTGATAAGGATGTGGAAGGAAATGTGCACAGCCTACTAATCTGGAAAACTGGCAAGGCCTTCCTCAGGACATATCATAGAAGATGAACCCAAAAGAATAAGCTGAAGGTGGTGGGCAGGGAGAGAGCTTAGTGCCTTTTTTGAAGCCCTGATATGGGAAGAGTGTCCCGGAGGAGGAAGGAGAGTAGCAGTAGGAAGTCATTAGAAACTTTTAAGCTTTTGAAATTTTGTTGTTTTGTTTTTTAACTTTTTATTATGGAGAATTTCAAATACATAAAACATTAGAGAAAACAGCCTCATGGACCCTGAATCCCCTCATACCTGTCACCCACCTAGCTTCAGAGCTGCTGTCTGTCACCCTTGTCTCATCGCTCCCTCCTGCTGCATTGTTTTAAGGCAAATCTAGACCTTTCATTCCAGCTGTAAATACTTCAGTGTGCATCTCTAACATTTTAAATAAAATTGAAATGCCATTTTACAGCTAGCAAATTTGTACTCATATTTCCCCAATTGTCTCAACTATGTATTTTTAAAGTTGGTTTGTTCATACTAGGATTCCAAATAGGTCTACACATTGCAATCAGATGAAATGTCTCTTGATTCTCTTTTTAATCTCAAGTATCTCCTTCTTTATACTCATTTTATTTTCCATGCATTTAGTTGCTAAATAAACATTACCTTCTTTGGAGTTTTTCCCATAGTGCCAATTTTCTTAGTTTCCTTATAGTGATGTTTAACACATTCCCTTATGCTATTCCTCATTTTTCCTATAAACTCATAGATCTTGAGTCATTTAGAATAAGGCCAGTATTTCAGCAGGTACACTTCATAAGTACCTGTCATGTCACTTAGGAGGTGTCTAGATGTCCCACTTACAGTGATGGATGAGAACATGCATTCATGTGTTCAAGAGTTGTCAGCCTAAGGCATCCATTATAAATCTCCATCAACCTTCCATCTGATAGTTTTAGCATCTTTTGATAATCATTACCTAGACCCATTCATTAGTGGTTGCTAAATGGCAGCTTTCTAATTTTCTTTCTAATTCATTCCTTCTGTACTTAAAAAATTTACAATTCTATAAATGCTTTCTTCCATCTACTTTTACCCTCAAGTACAATTTTTACAAGAGATGCTTGGTAGATGCAAAGTAGAAGTTTGGTAACTTGAGTAGTTACCAACTTTCAGAATACTAAATGTGCCCCTAGCAACCCCAAATATGTGATGAGAGTAGCTGTTTGTTATCATTTTGAATGAATTCTTGGATATTTATGTACTTAATGTTTGATCTATTTTTGTAAGAATTTTTTATGCTCAAATTGTTCTGTCTGTGCAGAACAATTTATTATGGAGAATTTCAAATACATAAAGCATTAGAGAAAACAGCCTCATGGACTCTGTTTGGCAGGCCCTAAAGTCTGGCTCCTGTACCTTCGAGTTCATTTGGTTTTGTTTGTATTTGTGGAAATGCACTTAACTAAGTATTTCCCCAAACTTTTATTGTAATCATTTTCAAATATAAAAGTTGAAAAAATAGTTAATGGACCCACATATCCTGCCTGCTTTCTTCAGGTGTTAGTATTTTGCCTGCTTTTTTCTCTCTCTACGTATGTATATTTATACACATGCCCTATATGTTATTTTGCTGTGCCATTTGAAGGGAAGTTGTAGAAATTGACACTTCACCCCTAATACTTCAGCAGGTGTCTCCAACAATGGGGATAGACATACTTCTATCTTCTAACCTAAGAAAAATGATTCTATAAAATCATCTAATGTCCAGGCCATATTCCAGTTTCTTATTATTCCATGGATGTCTTTATAGCTGCATCTTTTCCTGACAAGGATCCAACCCAGTCATGCCTTGTATTTCTCTTCAGTCTCGAGCAGTCTCCCTACCTTCTTCCCCCATGACATTTAATTTCCTTATTTTTTTTAATACTACCCCACATTCTGAATGTATGTTTCCTCTTGGTATTGCTGTACTTTATCCCCTGAGCTTCCTATAAACTGGAAGTTCAGTCTAGAGAGGTGTGACTAAGGTATAGGTTAAAATTTTGGCAGCAGTCCTTTCAGAAATGGTGGTGCCCAAGAATCTTTTAAAGTTCCCCTCTTTCTGTCCTGCTGAGATACTCTGCACCAATCTTGTGCATTTCCTGCCCTACACCTAGAATCTGTCGTTTTCCCCAAGGAGCCTGGTTACTTTTGGTAAGAAATAATCAGGAGAGCCCATAGTCCTGGCTTATTAGAGATCTTTTTAAGTTTGGAATGTATTTTTAAAATAGCTTTCTGGTCACAGTAAGGTGAATCTATAGGTAGGTAAAGGGCAGAAGTGTGCAGGAGGGCTAGCCTGGGAGTGGTTGTGGGACCAGGGAGAGATGGTGGTGGCCTGCTCAGGGCAGCAGCAGAAGTGGGTATACTGGAGAGGACTAAGAGGCAGGATCACAGTGATAAATAAGAGGATGAGGGAGAGATAAGAGTCATGAGCTATATGACCCTTCTGGTCTGAGAAACGAGGTAAGTAATAGTGGCATCAGTGGACATAAGGAAGGAATCCCACAAAAAGAGCAGGTCTGGTGAAGGTGGGTTCCAGATGGGAGGTGCTAAGAGTTTGAGGTCAGCCACCCCCTGGAGGTTTGCAGGAAGCTGGGTCTATGGACCTAGACCCCAGAGAAGATTCTCTTCCAGCTTTGTGCCTAGACACACCAGCACCATAAATGTCTTTTGACTGCGAACCTGAATTAAGCTAGCCTTTTGTCAGCAAGCCTACAAAGGATTTTTCTCCCCTCAGGTCCCGCTCTCGAAGCAGACATTCCCGTAAGAGTAGAAGCCGCAGCGGCAGCAGCAAAAGCAGCCCTTCTAAGAGTGGATCTCGGTCCAGGTGGGTTTCCCGCGTGTGGGGCTGGTGGGGCGCATCCAGACCATCTCCCATGGGGGAGCCAGCGGGACACATCTGGACCATGTCCCACTTGGATCTTAATCATGTTACCAATCTTCCTTTCCCCACCCCCCAGTGTTTCCAGCTCTGGGCTGGAATTGTGGGGGCTTAGAAAGCCATCCTTGGCCAGTACAAGCCATGCATCCTGTGGTGGGGCCTGGCTCCACACGCCCCTCTAGCCTTTCCATCTCATAGGTAGCATGCCGTGTGAAACTGCCCGTGACTCCAGCACCCCTGTGTCTCCTCAGGTCAGGCTCCCATTCCCGGAGCAAGAGCCGGAGCCGCAGCCAGAGCCGGAGCCGGAGCAAGAAGGAGAAGAGCCGGAGCCCCAGCAAGGGTGACAAGAGCCGCAGTCGCAGCCGCAGTGCCGACAAGCGCCACAGCAAGAGTAAAGAACAAGCGGAGGAAAAGGTCCAGAACAGCAACACCACTGGCAAATCCAAGAGCCGGAGTCCCAGCAGGCATAAAAGCAAGAGTAAAAGCAGAAGCAGGAGTCAGGAGAGGAGAGCGGAGGGGGAAAAGCGAGGGAGCGGGAGCAGGAGTAGGAGCAAAGAGAAGAGCCGGAGTCAGGAGAAAAGCCTGCACAAGAGCAGGAGCAGGAGCAGAGGGGGCAGCCGCAGCCGCAGCCGCAGCCAAAGCAAGGACAAGAGGAAGGGAAGGAAGAGAAGCAGGGAGGAGAGCCGCAGCCGCAGCCGCAGCCGCAGCCGCAGCAAAAGTGAGAGGAGCAGAAAGCGAGGTGGCAAGCGAGACAGCAAGTCAGGCAGCAGCAAGAAGAAGAAGAAGGAAGACTCTGGCCACTCCCCGTCCAGATCGCCGTCCCGCTCAGTTTCAAAGGAGCGGGAGCATGCCAAGTCCGAGTCCGGCCAGAGGGAAGGCCGAGGAGGGGAGAGCGAGGAAGCTGGCACGAATCAGGAGGCCCGGTCCAGGTCGAGGTCCAATTCTAAATCAAAACCAAACCTCCCATCTGAATCACGCTCCAGATCAAAGTCCATCTCAAAAACCCGATCTCGCTCCAAGTCTCGATCCAGGTCTGCGTCCAGATCAGCCTCCCGGTCTAGATCTAGGTCCCACTCAAGGTCCTAACTGGCTACGGCCGCAGCTGGAACTACCCGAGAAGTCTTTTGTACATGTTTGGTAGCCGTAGCACAAGTGATTGAAGTAGAACATACGTCACTGCTGTACATTTTTAACTCCCCTAATGGTGTGTCTACAATTGTTAAATCTAAGTGCTTCCTCTCCGTAAAGCCTCCTGGCGCCAGGCCTTCCTGCTCGACTGAAAACAATCTTCTCTGAAAATCCCCTTTACTCATGGCCCACAGTAGAGTATCCAGAATGCCTTGGCTTTCAGGCCTGGTCTTTCCTACAGGCAGCTCAGTATCTGGACGGCTTTAAGGCTGGAATGATGACATAGGTAGGTATGGTGAGTTCAACCATTTTTGCCCTTGAATTGATGCCCTTTGATGTATGCCATTTAGTGAAAGTGCTAAGTCTTAAGTTTCCTACCACTTTGGTTTCATATTTTTGGGCTTAACAAAGTTGTGAATAGCACAGTCGAGGAAAATTGATACCTGCAGTAACCCATAGGAAATAAACTAGAGTTCCATATTCTGGTATTGTGATTATATTGTTTTATAAAAAAAAGAAAAGAAAAGAATTTTTTTTTATTTTATTTTTCCCCGTCTTGCAAAGTATAGTGACCCCTGTTTCCATTGAATTTGAATAAAGACTATTTTTGCTTGACAAAATTTCATGGTGTTTGAATCGGAGTTGGATTTCCTGATCTATCTTGGTATCTCTCTTAGCATAAAAGGTTCAGTGTCTGATGACCATTTTGTTCCTTGAGATCACCCAGGGGAGGGAGCCAATGCTTTCCAAAAGGATTTTTCTCACCCAACAAAAAGGCGAGTTTCTCAGGAATCCTTCCTCTCAAGAAACTTAAGACCAAGCTAAAGAGAAATGAATCCGTTTAGGAATTCAGAGTGTCACCAGATGGGTTCTTCATGAACATAGAGTTCTTTCTTCTGTGCTATTTATTGAAATCTTGCCGTGAATCTGAAGTAACATACCTCATCACCTTAGGATTCGGACTAATCAGAAACAAGGAAGAAAAACGATGTTGGATTCCCTGTCCGTTCATCTGTCTTGTCTGGTCTAGCTCTGTAGGAGGTACCAGAGCTAAATTGTTGCAATCTGGTCTCCGCCCTTTAGGGACTGTTGAGAGGCCTCAAAGCCCGAAGGAAGCTAGAGGGCTTTGCTTACATACTGCGGCAGTCTTCTGGGGAAAGAGACACACTTTTCAGACTTCTGCCTGTGAGTGTACTAGGAAATGTTTGTAGATTTAAAATACTGTCCTGCTGCCTTTTATAGACCATACCTAGCAGGATGCACCACTGAGATAGAATCAGTGTTTTTTGCCCTCCTGAAAATTATCATCTTGTTGCAAATGATAAACACCACTAGAGTAAAGTGTACATTCAGAGAAAGGAGTTTTAACTTCATCTGGGCTCAGAGACATTTTTTTTTAATTGAAGTATAGTCGAGAATACAATACTGGTTTCAAGTAGGGCTCAGAGACATCTTGGAAAAGAGCACTTTAGGTGGAACCTTTGGAGATGGGATGAGAGGTATTCCTGTAGAAAGAAACATCTGTAAGCCATCAAAGCCATGGAGTTGAGAAAGCATAGGGCAGGGCACCCAGGGAACACGGATTTTGATAATTGGGAGTAAGAAGAAAGTCTGACAAGATGGATGGGTCATAGAGGGCTTTAAATGCCTAGAGGAGGAATACAGCCTTTACCCCATAAGCACTGGGGGACATAGGAAGTGTCTGAACAGTAGGGAACGGGCTGTAGTGCTCTGGTGCTGGACAGTGGGTCTGATAGTGGAAGAGTCGAGACGCAGGGAGACGTGCAGTGACTGCAGCTGCCACGAGCCTGAACAAAGGCAGTGGCTAGAGCGAACAGAAAGAGCCACAGGTAATCTGGAGAAAGCTGTCAGGTGACCCAAGGTAGCAACCCCTTTCTGAGGAATGGGGAAGATGATGGTAGATGGGTTCAGTTTTAGAAGCATGGAATTTCAGGAACCGACCTGGCAGCCCAACCATGGACCTGCTCTCAGGTTCCCTAGAGCTTTTCCTCCATTATTGTGTCTTGTCAAAGTGAGGGCTCCAACCATTTGAATTCCCCTGCTTTGGATCTCATGTCTCTCCAGTAGGTGGCAAGAATTCATCATCCCTGATGTTATCCCTGTAAGGATGGGGACGTTGGGGCTTTTAAAGTCCAATTTTTTTTAATTCACCTTAATTTTACTATCTCTAACACAGCAAGTCTTTATTTTTCCAAATTCTCTTCTAAGCTTTGTTCCTATTCATTCTAAACATCATTATGTCATGTTGATATTATTTAATAAACTTAGTCATTTAACATCATGAGCATTGGAAAGTTCTCACTTAAATGTTTAAGGCACATTAATTATAACCAAATGAATTTGCTAGCACGTGTGATCCTTAAGTATAATGGTATGGAAATTTCCATTTATACATAGATTTGCAGTCTTGCAAAAAAAAGATTTGCAGTCTTTTTTTTTTCTGGCAACTTTTAAGCTCATTTGTATTTATTTAGATTCTGAAAGAAAAGGAAGAGGTAAAAAAAAAAAAGAGAAATGGAAACTATTGAGTTCCAAACATGGACCAGAGGTTAGTACTTTCATGCACGCTTTTCATCTGATTCCCACACCACCACCCTGTGACCAGTATCATTAGGCCTCATTACAGATGAAGGACTGCAGCCTGATGTCTACCCACCCCCATCAGCATTAGGTTAATATTTGAGTGCCTTCTATTCCTCAAGCACTAAGGCCCTGGGAATGTCATTCAGATAAGACAGAAAAGGCCCCTCTTTTCATGGAACATGTTGCTTTTAAGGCTGGACTCAGGGCTTTTCTCATGATATGCATACCAAGAACCATCTGGGCCAATCAGTGTTCACTGGCTTTGGCATATCACCGCAAAGAAGTTTCCTGCCACCCCTTCACAGAAAAAAGTTTCTGAATTCAGTGCTTGTTCTAGACTATACTGTTTCCCTAGACAGTGAACTGACCTGAGCCAGAGGTTGGCAATAACATTTGAGGCTAAAGTTGGGTTATGCCTGCCCTTCCCCTCCCACCCACCCATGGTCTGATGGAAAAGAGACCTTGAAAAGCTCAAAGAGGAAGGCCCTAAGACTGATTCATCTACCTGCATTTACTATAAGCTAGATGTTTTTATGTACATTATTATATAGTCCCACTTTAAAAGGTAAAGGCAAAAGCCAGAGAGGGTGTTACTTGCCCAATGTAGCACAGCTTGTGACAAAGCTAGGATTACTTTCTAGATATCTGTAGTTCTCCTTCCTTATAAAATTTCATTTGTGATACAGTTACCCAAAAATAGTTGAACTCACAACAGCTAGGATTTGAACTAGGGTTCAGGTCAAGCAGGGTTTCTAAAAGACTGTGTTCTTAAAAACTAAGTTGCTATAAGACAATGCTACTGGCCCATTGCCATGAATAAATTTTAATTGCTCCATTATTTGATCAAGACTCCAAAACCTGCTTAGGAGTGTCCATTTGTCCAAGCTCAAGTCATCATCTCACATTCAGATGCCAAGAAGTGAAGAAAAGGGAAACAGTTCATTTTAATTTCTATAATGAGAAACTGCATTAATGTCCATAAAAATGCACTCAATAGGGAATTTACCAAAAATAGGAAACAGCCAAAGAAAAAGGCCCACCACAATTCGCCTCTGGATGCTTAGAATCCACACATACCCTCTATCCATAATGAACCTTCCGTCACCACCACCACCCCGAAAAAGTGGAAGACAAAAAGGAACAAAGAGCAAGGGTAGTGAGTAGGAAACAGTACCAAATGAGGTACATACTAAAACTATGTCAGTAATCACTTCAAATGTCAGGGGCCTAAATAGTTAAAAGATGATTCAGAATGGATTGAAAAATAAGATCCAACTGCATGTTGTCTAAAGGAAACCTATTTTAATTATAGAGACACATTAAAGGAATAGAGAAAGACATAGCACGATAACACTAATCGAAAGAAAGCTGGAGTAGCTATATTTTCAGACAAAGCAGACTTGAGAGCAGGGAAAGATGAAGGATGAGGAGGGGCATTGCATAATGATGAAGAGGTGGTTCTCCAAGAAGACAGAAAAATCTTAATACATGAGGCAAAACCTCAGAACTGTAAGAATGAGAGAAGTTCGCTATTACAATTCAAGACCTCCCCATCCCTGTGTTAGTAATTGACAGATCCAGCAAATGAAAACAGTAAGGACCTAATTGAACTCAATTGCTGTCATAAACTGGCTCTAATTGACATTTATAAAATACTTCATCTAACAACATAATACACAATTCTCAAGCTTACATGGAACCTTCACCAAGATAGTCCACATTCTGGGCCATAAAATAACACCTTAACAGACTTAAAAGAATAGAAATCATGTTAAGTATGCCCTCAGACCACACAATAGAGTTAAACTAGAAACCCACAAGTAAGATAGCTGGAAAATCCCCAAATACTTGGAGATTAAACAACGCCCTTGTAAATAACTCATGTGTCAAAGAAGTCTCAAGAAATATGTTGAGCTAAATGAAAATAAAACAACTTGTGGGATGCAGCAAGAGCAGTTCTTAGGAATTTATAACATTAAATTCACCTATTGGAAAAGAAGAAATCTGAAAACAATAATTAAGCTTCTGCCTTAGGAAACTAGAAAAAGGAGAGCAAATTTAATACAAAGTAAGCAGAAGGAAAGAAATTAGAGCAAAAAACATTAAAGATGACGTGAGAGAGTATATATCAATGATACCTTAATAAAAAATTAGAGCAGAAATCAAATGAAATTGAAAACAGGAAATCAATAGAGAAAATGAAAGACTGATTCTTTGAAGAAATTGATGAACTTCCAGTTCAGCTAACCAACCAATAAAAAAACAAATTACTAGTATCAGAAATGAAAGGGGCCATCACTACTGATCCTGTGGACATTAGAAAGATAAAGAAAGAACTATTATAAACAACTCTATCCTCACATTTGAAAATCTAGATGAAATGGAATAATTCCTTGATAACCTGCCAAAACAGAGAGAAATAGACAATCTGAATCTTTATGTCTATGAAGGAAATGGGGCAAATAATTAATAACCTCCAAAACAACACCAGACTACTATGGCTCACTAGCGAATTCTACCAAACATTTATGGAAAAAATTATACTAATTCTCAGTCTTTTCCAGAAAACAGAAGCAGAGGGAATGCTTCCTAACTCATTTTAGGAAACCAGCATTACTTCAATACCAAAACCAATGGCATTACAAGAAAGGAAAACTACAGACCAATGTTCATGAACACAGATATAAAAATTCTCAACAAAATAAAAGCAAATAGAATCCAACATTGTGTAAAAAGAATTATACACCCGTAAGCACATGTAATTTATTCCAGGTATGCAAGACTAGCTCAACATTAAAAAATAATACATCACATGAACAGGCTAACAAAAATGACATAAGCATATCAATAGATGGAAAAAAGCACTGAAGACTCATGATAAAAACTCTCAGCAAACTAGAAATAGAAGGGAATTTCTATCCTTGATAAAGAAATCTATAGACGACCTACAGCTAACATCGCAATGGTGAGAAACTAGATGCTTTCCCCTCTAAGATCAACAAAACAGGGATGCCGTCTTTCACCACTCGTATTCAACATCATACTGGTAGTCCTAATGCAATAAGACAAGAAAAGGAATTAAAAGGTACACAGATTGGGAAGAAAAGACTACACATTACATGATCATCTTTGTAGAAAAACCCAGAGAACTGACAGAAAACTCCTGAAACTAAAGCAATTATGGCAAGTTTTCAGGATACAAGATTAATTATGAAAGTCAATTGCTTTCCTATTTACAGAAATGAAGAATTTGAATTTGAAATTAAAACAATACCATTTCATTAGCACCCCAATAATGAAATAATTATATATAAATCTAACAATATATATACAAGATTTATGAAAAAATAAATGGAAAGATATTCCATGTTCATGGATAGGAAGGCAATATTGTTAAAATGTCAGTTCTTTCGAACTTGAGCCATAGATTCAATGCAGTCTCAATCAAAATCCCAGCAAATTATTTCGTAGCTATCAGCAAATTGACTTTAAAGTTTATGGAAAGGCAAAAACAAACAAAAAACAATAGCACAACATTGAAGGAGAAGAACAAAGTCAGAGGACTGATACCACCCAACTTCAAGACTCACTATAAGCTTCAGTAATTAATTCAGTAATTGGCTAAAGAATAGACCAAATAGATCAATAGAACAGAATAGAGAACCCAGAAATAGACCTGCACAAATACAATCAATTCATCTTTGGCACCAGAGTAAGGCAATTCAATACAGGAAGGGTGGTCTTTTCTACAAATGAAGCTGGAATAATTGAGAAAAATTATCCAGACAGAGAAAAATGGATCTAGACAGATTTTTCTGCACCTTTCACAAAATTTAACTCAAAATGGATCATAGATAGACCAAATGTAAAACACGAAACTGCTACAAGATAGCATAGAAGAAAATCTAGGTGACCTGAGTTCAGCAATGACTTTTTAGATATAACACCATTAATCCATTCCATGAAGAAAAATTGATAAACTCGATTGTATTAAAAGTAAAAACTTCTGTGAAAGGCACTCTTAAGACAAGTGACAGACTTGGAGGAAATATCTGTAAACCACATACCCAATACATGACTTAGACCCAAAATATACAAAGATCTCTTAAAACTCAGTAATAATAAAACAACCCAATTTTTAAAAATCAGCAAAAGATAAGCATATGAAAAGAAGCTCAACATCTTATGCTGATAGAGAATTGCAAATGAAGAAAAAAGTGAGATGATACCACATCTATTAGAATACCCAAATCCCAGAACACTGACAACACCAAAAGCTGTCAAGGATGTGAAGCAACAAGAACTCTTCTTTGCTGGCAGGAAGGCAAAATGGTCAGGCATTTTGGGAAACAGTTTGGTGTCTTCTTACCAAGCAAAACACTCAGATCATCCAGCAATCCTGCTCCCTGATATTTACCCAAATTAGTTAAAAGTGTATATCCACATAAAAACCTGTACACAAATGTTTACAGCAGCTTTATTCATAATTGTCAAAACTTGGAAGCACCCAAGAAGTCCTTCAATAGGTGAATGAATTTGGCACAAACATGAAATGGAATGTTACTCAATGATAAGAAACGAGCTATCAAGCTACTGAAAGACAAAGTGAAGGAAGCCAATCTGAAAAGTTATACAAATTCAAATTCAGTCCCCACTCCTGGCACGGAGCCATGCTCATTTGTTTATGGATCGTCTATGGCAGCAGAGTGGAGTCATTGCCACCAAAATTGAATAGCTCTCAAATTCTAAAATACTGATTATGTGGCTCTTACTTGGCTGGAGCAGGGCAGTGTCTTCATAGTTTTGTGTAGCTCTTTACAGGAAAAGTTTGCTGACCCCTGTACTAAATGGCAAATTTAACCACAGCCTACATGCATTAATGAGGAGAAGGGGGAAAAAAAGTGAAAGAAAATTAAAATACATAAATGGATGTATGATATATCCAGAAAGTCAGTCCAGGTAGAGGCAATGTTCCTGCTCTATTATAACCAGTCAGAATGCCTCAGCTAACTTTATTCTTCCCTCCTCCTCAGGTGAATTTTTATGACATACACAACTAATACCTCGATGAAGCTGATTTATTTCAAAGAAGAAGGCGGCTTTGCAGGCTGCCAGTTATCCAGCTGTAGATCAGTCATCTGTTCCAGTGCATGGGGGTTTTTTCACTCTCAGCAGAAGCTGGAGGACCTGCTTGGATGATGGGCAAGAATCCAGGCAACTCAAAAGGGCCAGGTGGTAGGCTGTGGCCAGGGCTTGGGCAGCTGGTTCCAGCTGGCTGGGTGGGAGGATCCAGGCCCCTCAGCCCTGCCTCCACCAAAAGGCTCTTCAGTGGGGGACTCCCCCACAGCAGAGGGGGGGGCTGGGAGGAGGGCAGTCAAACACTGGCAAATTGCTGCTACACATTTCTAAAATTTAGTGTGTCCTAAGGAGCATTCAAAGATGAACCAGAGATGACACAGGCATGGAACTTGTCTTCGAGAGGCTTCAGCTAGTTACAGAGAGCTTCACTTCTAATGCTTAAATCCAAATAAACTTAAATTAGTCCATGATTGTTGGAGGAACACCAGCTATACAAGGCAGAAATCCCTTGATTTGAAATGCAGCGTGTTTCATTCCACCACTAAAATGCCAGACGAGTCGAAGAGAAGCAAACCCAGACCTTGAACCTCCTGAGCAAACTCAGAGCATAGACCTAGCAGGAGTGGGCAGGCCATGCTGGGCACCAAGTGGCATAAACAGGAATGCCCTCAGCAGCCTTCTTTGTAATAGCCCCAAAGGCAAAGCAACCCCAGGCATTGGCACTGTTCAGGAACAGAGTACTGTGTCAATGAAAATGAACAAATTACAGCTACAGGATGCAACAGGACGAAGCCAGACACAAATGAGCACAAACTTTAACTCCTCATATATAAACTCTTCAAACTAAACTGTACCTGTTTTTAAAAACTTAACTACAGTAGTACCAGTCAGAACAGTGTGCACTTTTGGACAGAGGGAGGAGACGGCAAAGGAAGGAGCAGGCAAGGCTTTCTGGGGGTGCTGGCCGGGTGCTATTGCCTGGCAGGGATCCAATGGGAGTTTGCTTCATGAAAGTTTCCTGAGCTGGACATTGAGGCTTTATGCACTTTTCCAGAGGTGTGTTATATTCACAATGAAAGGGGTTTACCAGAAGGCAACTGGGGGTTTAATCAGACCCCATACAATCCAAAATTCCTTTTTTCTTGAGATAGAATATTTATCCTTAATTCACTTTGCAGAAAGCCCTGGCGTTTCTTAGAGTCAGTTAAAAACCTCTGGACATTCCTAAAAAAATGCAAATGAGAACGACTGTAAGGCCCACCTGGTACCTATTAAGAAACCTAGCGCAGCTCGACTGAGATTCTGAATGGGAGAGGCCTCGCATCTTGGGTGAGACACCACAGCTCGCCCAGAATTGGGAGGAAAATCTGCCGCAAGCCCCTAGTACTCCCACTCCGGCCATTCATCTTGAGGTGACAACTCAAAGAAAAGAGCTCTGAGTACAAACGTGTTTAATACTGGCTTTATTTACAACAGAAAAACAGGGAAAGCCATCGAAGCTGACAATAGGAGACTCACTAAACCCAGTCTGTCTCCTAGGTCCCCTCAGGGCCCTTCTGTAGCCACCAAGCTGATGTGCGATTCCCTCTGCCATTCCTGAATTTATTTCTATGAAAAAACTCACAGAGGCTTAGATATTAAATATCATTCAGTTGAATCATCTTTATTGGGAAGATTAAAATTACTTGAAAATTTCACAACCTCACACATCAGTGACTACAAGGTGAGGTTATTTTTGTCATTTCAGCTACCATTAAAGTTGACTACAGAATCCTTCCGTGTTCTTTTAGTCATCTTAATGTTTTTCCTCCAGCATCTCTTGGTAAGAGATTTTAAGGCATTGTCAGTGGTTCCTCCAAACCAGAAATGTGCACCGGCCCCAGGAAGGCCGCTGCCGCCTGCCAGTGTTCCCAGACCCAGGTGCCTTGGCTTCATGGTTGGAGGCGCCTGGTGCTCCCATGAAGAAACTAGCCAGGACCTGCAGCTACCTGAGGCCGTTTTCTCCGCACCCTTTTAGCCATCTTTTCTTACTGAAATATGATTAGGGACATAAGATTCCTGGAAAATAGTAGGAGACCAAAATATATATCGACGAGGCACCAGGCCTGGTGGAGGGCGTTTTACACTTGCAGTTACCTGGTCCTCAAAACACACTTGTGAGGTCAGTGCGTTGTCCGGATTCTATAGATGAAGAAATGAGAGATTCTAGGAAGAGTGTGACTCTCCCTACTTTCTTGCTGTGTGACCCAGGACAAGTTACTTAAACTCTGTGCTGTAACTATGTGGGCAACATCTGTAAAAATGGGAATGATTCATACCATGTAACTCCCAGTTCTGTGTGGAGAAGGCTTTGGAGTCAAACAGACCTGCCCTGGAGCCCCAAAGCTGCCCCAAAACCGTATGAGACTTTAGGGGCGTCATTTCAACCCCAACCTGGAAACAGGAAACGGCTCCGTGCCAGCTTAGCCTGCATGAGGCGCGGTCAGCGCCTCCTACGGGCCTGGCTCAGAGGGGGCGCTCAGTGAGCGAGCGGTTCCCTCCTCCCCAGGTGCGCTCTGTTCCTTCAAAGCTGGCCTCACACCAGTGGCTCCACTGGGGTGCCTCCTCCAGTACCCACCTCCCTGCTTGGAGCCCTGACCTTGGAAAGCCCACGGCAGCCTGCCGTAGCGTCGGGCCTCCTGTGTGTGCAATGCGCAGCGAAGCTGCCGGACGCGGCTGTCTCGAGGTCTCGCTGCGCTCCGCCTCTCCCAGCATGTGACGTGAAGGAGGGAGGCGAGGGCACCTGTGAGTGAGGACGCCCCCGGGGCCTCTGGTCCCCTTTACAGTGGTGAAATGGTCATCACAGATGGCAAAGGAAAAAAGCCAACATAAAAGCCAACTTCTCCAAGCTAGGGCTGGATGCCCAGGGGAGGGACCCGGCTGGGCGAGCCTGGGGGCGGGCCGGGGCAGCCGAGCCCGGTCAGTAACCAGGGCTGGAATTTGGGTGTAGATCCGGCGGCCCTGGGGTGCAGCCCAGCTCTGCCAGTGACCCTTTTGGGTCCTCGCTTGTTTGCTGTCATTAGGGCAGGGGTTGGGCTACCCTGCCTGGGCTGTTAGGAGGATTACGGGGGACCGTGTAGGTGCAGCGCCTGGCAGGGTCCCCCCAACCCCCGGGCAAATCCCAGTCCGCCCGACGCCCCGACGCCTCGCCGACTTCGACCCCTGCGGTTCAGCCACAAAGTTCGTGTACAACCCCAACCTCCCCAGGCGAAACCCTTCCAGTCCTATAGGGAACCTGCGGTGTGCAAGGGAGCCCGCCCAGGAGGTCCGAATGCCGGTGGCTCCGGGTTCCAGGGGAGGCCCCGAGGGGGACACGTGCGCGCCCGGGATCACTGCGGGGAGTCGGGGGAGAGGCGTGGTGGAGTCTGGGCTTCTCTGCTCTGGGCGCGGTAGGGAGAGGCCGGCGGGCGCTCGCGGGCTACTGGGTCAGCGCAAAAGGCTGGAGCCGAGGGCGCAGGTGCGGGGCCTCGCCGTCAGGTGGCGCCAAGGCCAGCTCCGGCTGCGGCCCCGCCTACCTGCGGCGTACGCGCTTCTCTGAGCCGCGGGCCCACCCGCTCCCCGGTCTCCGTTGCTGTGTCTCTGGCGTGCTTCTCTCCTCCCCGTGCCCTGGTCTGGGTACCAAGCCCTGGGCACAGCTCGGAGGCAGGGGATTATTGCCTAGAACTGGAGTCCTGCCTCACCAAGATGGGGAGGGGCGAACTGGGGTGACTTGACCCATCATCAGACTGTGTGACTTTGGACAGTCGCATGTCACCCTCTCCTGGCCGCCTTACTTTGCCTTTACGGTTCACACAGCACTGTATTCACAAGCTCCGGCAGCTGGCATTTGACCCCATGTTATAGACAGAACTGGGACCAGTCCCCGGTTGCAATGTAAGGCTCTGAGAAACCAACCATACGATCTTAGAGCTGAGAGTTGCTCTCTGCCGGCCTGGGTGACTGATAGGTAGACAGAGTCCCCAAGGGCCCCTGGCTTCCCTTGGTTCAATCAAGGCTGGCTGGGCATGCTGCCAGCTTCAGAGCTCCCATGGTCCAAGGGGCCTGCCCTGAAGGATTCTCATCTTGAATCCCAGGCTCCAAAGGGGGCCAGCTCTGTTTCCTACCCGCCTACAGTGGTGTAGAGCTCACTGCCTCATCAGTAGAGTGATTTGTCACCAAATGGAGGTGCCACATTCCTATGGTATTTGTGGCAGGGACTCCTATTTACGCCCCAGTATCCATTTCCCAGCCTCCCTTGGAGCTAGATGTGGCCACATGACCTAGTCTGACCAGTGGGAAAGGAGCATTCTGGGTGTGTGGCATTGGGTATTGTGCCTTTACAGGGGGGGGGCATAGCCCCCTCCCTGGCTTGTCCACTGACTCAGGAAGGGGGAATAAGGAGTCTCTTCAACCACAAGGCGAGGTAGGTGCCACGCCTTAGGGATGGCAGATTAACAAGCTGGAAGGAGCCTGGGTCCCTAATTCTGGGGGCTTCCCTGTTGACTCTGGACAGTTAATGCTCCAACTGTTAAGCAAAGAAGAAATACATTTCTATCTTCCTTAAATTCACTGTTCTTAAATTCTCCTGTGGCAACATTGGCTACGTCCATTGTCACTGAAATAAAACAATCCTATGATTAGTCACTAACAGGTACTTATACATGCCAGGTATCTCAGTCAACTTTCCTGGTGTACTGCGGTGGTAACAAATCACTCCAATATCCGTGGTTTACAACAGACACGATTTCTTGGTGTTACACGTGGCCACTGTGGCTGTCTGCAGCCCTTTTCTACTCCAAGGCATGCCTCTCTGCACAGTGGTGCAATTTTCCTATAATATATAGGGGCGGAAGGAGACATGCAGGTATAATTTTCTCAGCTGAGGTTTTTCTTACCCTGTGGTGCCTGCTGTGACCTGTCTGCTGTAAGCACTCCCAGAGGAATGAGAGGAAACGAATCTTCACAGGGAACCTCCAGCTTCAGTACCTTGCTGGACACGCGTTGTACCTGAGACCCTGGGTGGCAGGCGTGTGCCCACAGTCACGTTTCTGGCCAGCAGCCCTACTCCAATCTTTTCACAGATCACCCAACTCCCAAGGACCCAATCCAACTCCCCAGTGCTGTCAGTCACTTACAGAGACCTGTCACCCTCTCTGGGGCTTCTGAGAGAATCTACATTTCTAGCCCCTTAACCCTTTGGACCTCCTGACCCTGTCCTCTCCCTCCAGTCCCCAGCTGACTAGACCAGGGATAGCCACCTGATCCAAGTGGAGCCCATTGTAATGTCCAAGAAGTTGAACCAGCTCACAGAAATGAACACCGGAGCTAAGTTAATAGCACTATAAATAGCAAAGACAGTAATGGCGGCTAAGGTTTATTGGGCTCTCCTGGGCATGCTCTGTGAGCTCCTGACAAGCATGAAATCCTCACAGATTAGTAACTGCTTGTAGGCAGATGAAGAAAGGGAGGCTCAGCAGTGAAGCGACTGCCCTAGGTTATTTGGGTGGGCCCGGGGCAGAGTATCTCCATTGCGATTAGCCTCTTGACCAGGGCATTCTGCCCCCTCCGCCCCCATCCCCTACCATCCCCTCACCCTCCCTCCAAATGAATTGTAGTTCCCTCCCTTCAGCCCTCCATGCCTCTGCACTTGCAGCAACTGACCCCTCTTCCAGGAAGCCTTCACTGTTCATCTCCTCCAATGCAGGTGCCCCGGGTTCCCAGCACTCAGCTTAACCCAGAGCCCATGTGTGGTGCTTGCTGCATGAATCCCTCTTGTACAGATTGTTCTCATTAAGGGCAGGACCGGCTTCAGGTGGGCACCCAGGAGCCTCTGTTGAACGCTCTCCTGTGCTGTCCCACTTCATGCTCCCAACACTCCTTGGAGTGGGGGTTTGACATTACATCTCTGTTTTACAGAGAATGAAAAAGAAGGCCCAAGAAGACAGTGATCTCCGCTAGGTCACACAGCCAGTAAGTGCCCTGGCCACAGTTCTGGGTTCTTACCTAAATCATTTCCTCCTCTATCTTCCTTCGTTCCTGTCTCCAAAAGAGTGGTTGAGCAGGGCCCCAGGGAAGGGGTTCCAGGGGAGGGGCGTAGGAGTAGCAGGGGAGCTGGGAAGGGTCAGGGCAAGAGGTGACCAAAGCAGCCGGGGCAGAACCAGAAGACCTGGGGGGGTAGGGGGACCCTTTGTCCCAAGGCCACCAGGTACCTCACCTGCCTCTTCAGGAAGAGCCTCCCCAGCCCTACCCCTGCTCCTGCATTGGCCTGGAGTTCTACATCACCCACCTCCTCTTATGTGCTCTTGGAGAAACAATTCTAGGTGACACATTAACAGTTTGTAAAGTCCTTTCCCAGCTAAGTATGGATCAGGCCACCCCCCTGCTTTAAAACTTCCCATGACACCCATGACTTTAAAACTCCCAGTGCCAGGGGGCTGAGCCCCAGATCCTGTGTTTGAGGTGGTCTGCAATTGAGCCCTGACCCTTTTCATCTCATCTCCTGCTCCCCCTCTGGCACTTGACCCCAAGCCCACACCTCCAGGCTGTCTGCATGCTGTTCCCACAGCCTTCTGCAGCTTGGAAAACTCTTCTGACCCTGAGATCCAGTGGAAATGCCCCCTCGTCCATGAAGTCCTCCCTGCCGCCTGCACCACCCCTCCATGAAGTCACCTGCTGCTTCTTCAGCTGTTGGTGGCTGCATTTGTTCTTCTCAACCCCCGAAGCATCTGATGGTCCCCAGAGGAGGTGGCTAAAGGGACAATCACCAGCCTCAAGTTCACATTTTATAGGCAGGAAAATAATGGACAAGGACTGATTAAAGGCCAGAAAGCCCTAGCACCACGGTATGCTGTGTTTATGGCAGGGTTCCAGCCCTTTGAAGTTGGGACTGCCACTGCAGAGGAAAAGAGAGATGTAAGAGGTGAACTGACTTGGCCATGGCTAATGGGAGGTCGTGTAGCATCGTGGATAACACCTGGCTCTGCCATCGACCAGCTGTGTGACCACAGTCAAACCTGGCCCTTACAGAGCCTCCGTTTCTGCGTGTGTGACAGGAGACAGCAGCGCTTCACTCTCAGCTCGTCCTGCACACTTAAGAAAATCATGGGATAAAAGGTCTGGCTGCGATGGGGGCCTTGATGAGATGGTGATTTCCAACTGTCACACCGAGGGGCCCAGGAGGACTGCCGGCTCGGCCCTGACCCCGCCCAGGGAAGTCTCACTTCCTTGGCCTTCTCGGCATCCCCCAGGCTCTGCCTCTTTTTCTTCTTCAGGCTGCAGAGAGCAATGGAGACATGGAGCTCATGCTCCCTAAGAGCTTTGCCAGTGGCCCAGAGACACCTGGTAAGAAGCCTGGTCAGCCAGCTCAGAGATTCCATGGGGGTGGGAAGAGATGGATTGGGGTTCACATCCCAGAATCCTGAGGGCCTGAGCTCTGGGTGGGACCCTGTAACCATGGGGCTTGGAGCCCAGCTCTGCCATTCACTAGCTGGGTCACCCCACCACTTCCTATCAAATGGGCACACCAGTGCTTCCTGTGAAGGACATAATACAGAGGAACAGAGCTGTGAGGGAGTGCTGTGACATGCCCAAGGTCACCCAGCCAATGACTGAGCAGCATAATCAAAACTGGCACTCAGAGCCATGCCCTCCTCTCTGAACCGGGTTCTGAATTCTCAGCTGAGATTGTAGTCTTGCTGGGCAGGAGCCACACTGGCATAGGCCCCCCTGAGACAAGAATGGTTTTCAAAACCCCTGGGGCTCTAGCAAGAAATCCAGGGCAGCCCAGACCCACCAGCCTGTTCCTCAAGTGGAGGTGAGAGGTGAATTCCAGGCCTGCTGTTCCGCGGCCCTGGTGGGGCTGTGACATGCAGGAAGTGACAGCTGTTCCCTCCCCAGAGCAGCTTCTGGAAAGGACATGGAGCCTCAGGTAGGCAGGGGCCTCAGGTCACTGTGAGCAGTTCCCTCCCTTCACAGAGAAGCTTTGGGGAGAAATGCTGGCCCCCGTGGCCCCAGGGGACATCTCGTTAAGGCCCCTGCTGGTGGGGAAGCTGAAGGAGCCCAGGTCACCCAGAGGAGGGAATGGGCGTCCCAGTATGGAGGCCACTGGCCACCCACACATCTACACAGAGCCAGACTTGGCAGACCCAGTAGATGTCCTGCTGTGGGGTGTCAGGGCACTTAGAGTCTGGCTGTGGGTCTGTGCGCAGGTTTCTGCCTCTGAGCCAGTTTCTTCATCTGTAAACAGCGTAACATTGACTCCCCAAAGCTCTCAAGAGAATTAAAATGGAAAGTGAACCCGTCTCCCCACCTCCACCCCATATGGCCCCTGGGAAGGTTTCTACAGCCCCCAAACACTGCCCTCTGTGCCCGAAACCACATAGTCAGAGGAGGGAACAGGTGTTTGCTGGGCATCTACTTTGTGCCAGATGCTAAACATGTGCTTGTACATTATCCTCAAAACAACACTGAGAGGTAAGTATCATTTCCCCTTTTTTATACATGGGGAAACTGGGACTCAGTGAGGAGCCTTTGATCTCCTGCTATCTGGACCAGGGTCCTGGGCTTGGGGAGACACAGCCCAGGGCCAGGGCTCCAGGGGAGAGCAAGACAGACCCAGTCCTGCCCTCAGTTCACCGCCAGGGGCACACAGGAATCAGACACTCGGTTCCCAGACACTGGTTTCAGTGCACTGTGACCGGGGTGCTGACCTGGTCGAGGAGGCTGGTGTGAGGGCTGTGACCGGGGTGCTGACCTGGTAGGGGTACCCAGAGGTCTGAAGGACGAGCAGGAGCTAAGGGGACAGTCAGGGGAGTATTGTTCCTGACCAGAGGTGAGGCAGGTGCCAAGCTCCAGCAGCCAGAGGGTAGATTTGGGGATGGAAACAAGTTCAGCTTCCCAGGAGGAAAGAGTGAGGGGCAGGGGCCAGTTTGGGGAGATGAGAAGGGATTTTAAACTCCATATGGACAACACCTGTGGACTAAGGGTTTTGAGGCGGGAGTGGGTGACTGGGTCAGATTCAGTGTAGAAAGATGTCTGGTGGCCCTCCACAGGGCCGCCCGGAGGACAGCAGCCCCAGAAGGCAGCTAATTCGAGATCCAAAGAGCAGGGTCCGACGGCCTGGATGGATTGGATAGAAGAGGAGAGGAAGGAGCCTAAGGGGACTGCCCCTGGCGGAACTGGCCTGTGGGTGTGCAGTGGGGCCCTTCACACAGGGGGAACCAGCCAGGAGCAGGGATGCACCGAGATCACCAGGCCTAGGGGACTTCCAGGGAAGTGTGTGGTTGCTGAGTGACGCTGGGCTTGGGGGCTGGAGGAGCCCGACGCCTAGGGAGGACCGAGGGGGCCACGCGGAGGGAAAGCAGGGAGGGCAGACGGGAGGGGCCAGTGGGGTGGCAAGGACAAAGACGGGAGGCTGTCCAGGCTGTGGCCTCCAGAGGTGGCGTCCCCAGGAGGTGCAGTGAACGGGGCAGGGACCAGGGACCCGTGCTGGGTGGGGCACTGAGCCGAGGAATGTTGGGAGAGTGGAGTGCGAGGCGCGCGGGGTCCCCGTATAGGACGTGGACGAAGGGCAGGTCTGCAGGGGGTCTCCAGGAAAGGCCATGGCGGGCGGCCACAGGCGCGGTCAGAGTGAGATCCTTCGGAGCTCAGGCTTCAGGCCCACGCGGACGGCAGGAAGGCGACCCTGGCCTGGCTTTCGTACCCAAAGGGGTGAAGCCCGGAGCCGAGGCTGGGCCCCACCCCACCCACTGTGGCCTCCTCGGGGAGGCGGGTATCTTTGCGGTCGGGCCAGGAGGTGGCCTCGCCCCCGGCGTGGCCTCTGTGGCTCCCAAAGGTGTCTGGTCTCCGGGGGCTGGGAGAGGGGCTCCCGGGGGCATTAGATGCCATCCCCAGCCTCCTTCGCCGAGTCCCCGGGCAGGAGCCTGGGTTCGAGGCCTCGCTGTGCCGCGTGGCTCGGAGCCCCGGCTCCGCAATGCGTTGCGAGGTGAGCCGGCCCAGGCCCGCCACTTCCTCCAGTCCCCTCCCCCCGGTCCCCTCCCCGCCCCGCGCGCACAGCCGGGTCTCATTAGCGCCCCCCTCCCTCGCGCCCGCGCGCCGGGGGGTCTCTGCGGCCCGGGGCGGGGAGGGTTCTAATCAATCCCAGGCCGGAAATTCCTCCCGAGGGGCCCGGCCGGGCAGCGGGAGGTGGGGGGCCGGCTCGGAACCTCGCGGTCCGCCGCGCCGCCCCTCCTCCTGCGAGCCCGCCCCAGCATCATGGAAACTGGGCCGCCAGCCGACCCCCTTGCTCCGCTCCACATTCTTGCCTCTGGGGTGGGCGGGGCACGAGCGCTGGGCGGCCCCCTTCAGGCCTGTCCGCTGGGAGCGCCGCGGCCCCCAGCACCCTCCTCCTGATCTGGGACAAGCACCGCCTCCCCACTCCAGATTGGACAGAGCTTCTTCGGGGAGATTCGGGGGCTGGGCCGCGACTCTCGGTCTGATTCACTCAGCTCTGGGGGCCTGGCTCATTCCTATCACCCGCCCATCACTGTTCACTGAGCGCTTGTGGGGTTACCCGGGGTTGTGCCCTCTGTTGTGCGCCACGCCCTCAACGCTGGATCTTCGCCTCTCAGCATCCTGCGAGGCAGCCACCATTATGCCCATTCTACAGGTGAAGGCAGTGAGGTTGAGAGGGGCAAGGCTGGGGGAGTCGGGCGGAGCAGGAACTCGGACCGCCGCCTCCGGGAAGCTTCCCGGACCATGCTGGGCTCTCAGTGGGCTCTCAGTCACCGACGCAAGCCCACTCCAGGCGCCTGGTATGAGGGCTCCGAGAGGCGGGGGAGGGCGTGCAGAGTTCGAATCCTCAGTCTGCACATTCCGGGCTAGGGGGTCTACTCGGGTGCGAAGAAGGCGCCCTCCCAGGTCTTTGAGAACGACTCAGGCCGAGGACTCGGGCGCCCGGATCCTGAGTCACCAGATGTGCACACAGCACCTACCTGCGACCCTCAGCCCTGAGCTGCTGCCTCTAACAGAGGTGGGGTCTGGCGGGGTACAGGTCAGACTGTCCCCGGGGCTCCCGGGGGGCGGGGCCGGGCGGCACTGGGCGGGGCCCGGGGCGGGGCGGGGCCAAGATTCCGTGGAGACACGGGCTGTGCAGCTGGCCGCGCCGCGCGGACTCCGACCCCGGCGCGGCGGCGCCAGGTGAGCAAAACTAGGGTCCCAGGGTTTGCTAGCACTTCCCCCCAACCTTTCTTTGGCCCCTCCCTCCGGAATGGTCTCAGGGAGCCGTAGTCGGGTCCGCCCTTTCCCTGGGCGGGAGTGTGGACGCGACCGGAGGCGGGACCTCGGAGTGCTGGGACCCGGCCCCGAGCAACTTCCCGTGACCTGGGACCTTCGGTCTGTGTCTCCAAGTTTCCCCCGTAGGGTCGTCAGCGTCGATTAGCCCTCCAGAGTCTCGGGGTCCTGAGCATGTCCCACCTCTTTGCACTCCTCTGCCTCCCTCCCCGCCAAGAGACGCGAGGGGTTCAGGGGTGACCTTTCCGGAGTTTGGGCTTGGGGCGCCAGCTTTGGCCTGGGACGGGTGATCAGTTCCCCAGTTTTGGGCTGGGGAAAGGGAGGAAGACTCTAGGAGATAAGGGGGAACGGGTCTTGCCTCCTCCAGGACGCTCCCTTTGCTGTGCAGAGAAGTGCCCAAGGCTAGGCTAGGGTCCCGAGGCCCGGCGTCGGGTCCTGTGGAGCCCCTGTGTCTCTGGGCCGCAGTTTCCATCCGTGAAAAGCAGGCGGGGACGCAGTAGATGCTGCGGCTCCATGCTAGGCCCGGGGCCTTCGGCACTCCTGTGGGAGGCAGGGATGCGGTGTCCGGCTTTGGGCTTCGGGGGTGCGGATGGGGAGTGAGAAGGGTAGCAAGGCCTCCTTCCTGGGGCCTCGGCTACGGGTTCCAGCGCTGGAGCTGTTTAGAAGTCACACCGGGGAAGTGAAGACGCACCACTTGACAGCGAGGTGCTAGCCTTCCCCTCCTGCGGCCCGGGGTGCCTGGGCGGGGTTCCCGTTTCTCCCACACCCTTCCTCCTGTGGGTGCTACAGCACACGCAGCCCGGCCCTCTGCTCTGGCTGGATCCAGTCCTCAGGCCGGGATGGACCAGCAGCCGGGAGGGGATCCTGGGGCGGCCGGGGGTGCGAGGGCGGTGCTGCTCCGGCCGGGACGCGGGCCACTGGGGCCTCAGGCGGAGGAGGCCGGAAAGCAGGCTAGGCGGCGGGAAAGAGGGATGATTCATTCCGAGGAGCCCGAATTGGAAACGCAGCAACCTGGGAACAGCCTAGCCAAAGCCGACGGGGGAGCCAGGACGGAACCTCTCCCGGCAAAGCCCAGCGGCCGGCACGCAGACCCCTGCGTCCTGCCCCGGCCAGAGCCTGGCCGCTGGGGGGAGGCGGAGGCCTCTTATACGTGGAGATTAAAGAAATCCTGGGCCAAGTCTGCCGCTGGTCTCGGTCAGAACGGTCTTCCCGGAGTCTAGCTCAAGTCTCTCCTGCTGCAGCTTCCGGGCTGACTGAGGAGGTCTGGGAGGAGGGGGCGCTCAGGAAGAGGCTGCAGTCAGGGACACCCCCTCCTTCCTACGCTGCGGTATGTAACGGAGTAGGGGGCAGGTGGGGCCCGCGGGCGACCCCATTGGACCTGGACGCTCCGAGCGCCCCCTTCCTCCTTTATTATGGTGCAGCCACGTGCGGGGGTGAGGTAGAGTTCGGGCGGAACTTACCCTGAAGACGCCGCCGCGGGGACCCCCGCACCTCCAGAGACCCGGGACTCGCGGGCTGCCGAAAGGGGCTCCTGCGGCCGGAGCCCCGCAGCCAAGGATGCGCCAGGGAGCAACCTGCGCCCCCCTCCCTCCTCTCCGCCTGCGGACCGGGCCAACTCGGGCTCTTGCCGCGCTTCCCTGGCTCGGAACTCCGCTGCGGAAAACCCGAGCGGGGGCGGCTCCCCGCCTCGCAGCCCGGGAAAATCCGGGGGTGGCCGCCAGGGATCTCCAAGCGTCCTGGGCGAGACAGCCCGATTTTCCCTCCCGGATTTGGGCCCTCAACCCTGCACTCCGACCCTACGCCCGTCGGTTCAGCCTCTACGTCCTATCTTCTTTCCGCAGAGCGCCCAGACGACGGCGAGATGACGGCTGGGAGCCCCGGAGACTGCGGGGAGGTGCGGAGGAGCCCCGAGGGCCGCGTCTCTCGCCTGGGCCGCCGCCTCGGCCGGCGCCGGCGCCCGCGCTCTCCACCTGAGCCTCTGCGGGTGCGGGCGCGGCTGCGACTGCGCTCACCGTCGGGGGCTTTCGCCGCGCTGGGGGCGCTCGTGGTACTGGTGGGCATGGGCATCGCAGTGGCCGGCTACTGGCCGCACCGTGCCGGGGCTTCAGGGCCTCGAGCTGCCAATGCCAGCGCGCCCCCCGTGAGCGAGCTGCGACGCGAGGGTCGTAGCGCTGGCCGGGCCCATGGTCCGCACGAGCGGCTAAGGCTCCTTGGGCCGGTGGTCATGGGCGTGGGCCTGTTCGTGTTCATCTGCGCCAACACGCTGCTCTACGAGAACCGCGACTTGGAGACACGCCGGCTTCGCCAGGGCGTGCTGCGGGCTCAGGCCCTCCGACCCCCCGACGGCCACGGCTGGGACTGCGCTCTTCTCCCCAGCCCGGGTCCCAGGACTCCCCGAGCCATAGGCTGCGCAGAGCCAGAAAGTTGGGACCTGTCCCCCTGTCGGGGAACTTCACCCGTCCCGTCAGTGCGGAGTCTGCGTTCAGAGCCTGCTAACCCTCGCTTGGGGTTACCTGCCCTGCTCAACAGTTACCCGCTGAAGGGCCCCGGACTGCCCCCACCCTGGGGTCCTCGGACCCAAACTGGCCATGTGATTATCACCGTGCAGCCCTCTGGTTCCTGCATCGAACATTCCAAGTCTCTGGACCTGGGCCTTGGGGAGCTCCTGCTCGGGGCCCCAGTAACTCGGGACTGTGCTCACCGAAGCTGGCCACGGCTGGACCGCCTCAGTCTGGGGGGTTATGCCAAGCTGGGGGGAGGAGGAGGGGACTTGGGGGCCCAGGTTTGAGCAGGGACAGCCTGCTGTGAGGCTACAGCATGGACTGTTGTAACAGGACCAGAAGTCCCAGTGTCCACTAGATGTTTCTAGTCACATACCAGACTGGGGATGGATGCTCTGGTCCCAGCAGCTGCTATGGCATCCTGGTTTGCATGTCGGTGGAGAAATGCCAACTGCACAAGGATTCAGTAAGCTGGAGAGAACGTGTTTTAATGTGGAGTCTGGAGACCAGCATGACGTGGCCTCAGGAATTCCTTCAGCCTCCAAATGTGGCCTTAGCCCTGACAGGTACTGACTGGGGCTGGGGGTTCAGGCCAGGGTGATTGAGAGATACACCTGATGTCTTGGCAAAACCCAAACTGGTGGGCAAGGACCCCTAAGACTTGGAAAGTGGGCTGGGATGTTACTGGCTAGGACAGGCTCTCTCCAAGGTGTCACTGGTGATGGGGTTTGAGCCTCCAGTGGACAATGGGATAGAGCTGAGACCTTCCACTGCCATCTGGGAAGGGGACTGAGCCTTTAACTCCTACCACCTCAACCCCTTTCTGCCCTCAGCCATGCAGGGTACCTCCCATTAGGGCTACACTACTGCCAATGCCTCCACACCGAGGGTCTGGCCCCTCTCCCCAATGGGTCTGAGAAGCCCCCTTCTCTCCTCTGTTGTGGCCTGTGCTGCAAAAGCTCCCTCCAGTTGACAAAGAGCATTTGCCAGTTTTCAAAGATCTTTTATAAGATGTTAAAGCTGCAATTTTGGCCAATGTGGGTAGCTTAGGTTAAAAAATGGTTTGAATGTGGTTCTCCCCCACCCATGTTTAATCTTTCTCCTGGTAAGGGAAGAGAGCTTTAAAAGTCAATCAATCCTCACAGTCTGGTTTTTTTTTTTTAAGTTTATTGAAAAATGCAATACAAGAAGCAAGACCAAACACATATCTAAGTACTACAACCACTTCTCTTACTACAAAAGGCCAAAACAGCAGACTGAATTATTGCCTATTTAATCTTAAGGATTTTGCCAATTTGATTCTGCTGCCATAGTTCCTATTTTGTTAAGAAATGTAAACAACTACTTGATATGATCCATGATTTTTTAAAAATTTACAAAGCTCCTTCATTTTTGTCACCAAAATAATACGTTTGAGAGAGATTTGTAAAAACAACCAGTCTGGGGCTGAGACCCTGGGAAGGTATCTCCCATAGCCACTCCTTGGTGTTGGTCAGGCCACAGCTCTGGCTTCATTTCCCAAGGTGGACTGCTGTCCCCTCACTTAGCTGCCCTACAGAACACACAGTGGGGGCCCAGAGGGGGCCTGGGGGCTAGGTTCTGTGGGCCCTCAATTTATACATTCAGATCCTGCTTTGTGGGTGGGTTGGGTGGCAGAGACCTCACGTGGCTTAGAGGAAGTCTTTATTTCTCAAGTGAAATAAAAATAAAATTGCAGCAAGAGTAATGGTGTCTCTGAGTCACTTTAGGAAAACTGTTGCCAAGTCTCTGACCCTGGAAATGAAACTTTCTTCTCCTTCTTCGCCATTTCCACCTGGAGAGAGTCTGTTTTCTTCACACGCACACGCAACTGCAGGAAAAAAGCCAACCAATTGCCAACCCCTAAGATTGTTACCGGAGAGGGAAGAAAGGAGAAGAGGCTTGGGAAGACACCCCATTTGCTAGCTTGTCCAAATCATGGCTTGTCAGCGCTGGAAGGGCATTAGATCTGGTCCAGTTTATAGACAAGGAAGCAGAGAGGAGTGCAGTAGGTTGTGAGAGCTGAGAGGACACTCTGATCCATGATCCTGTCCTATGAAAGCTGCTGCACTGCCATGGCTGGCCCAGACTATTCCGTGTGCCAGGTTTCCAGCACTGTTGAGGCCTTGCTGTGCCGCGTGGCTTGGAGCCCCAGCTGCCTCTGCCTTACCCCAGCGCCTTCATTCCACAGGTCCCAGCTTTGGGAGCTGCAGCAGCTCCTGCAGAAGTGCAGGTGTCCATTGCACAGCGAGCTCACGGTACAAGCTTGTTTGATGTGAGCCTCCCTTGTAAGCTGACCACTGCTCCCGGCAACACAGCCCAGGCTTAGGCACCACCCAGAAAGCCCCATCGGCTCAGCCCCTGGGCCCATGTTCCTGAGACAGGACAATCTCCTTTCCTCTAAGCCTGTCACACATCTCACCAGAGCTCTTCCTGTCCCTCCCTGGAGAAGGTTGCCTGCTGGTTAGTGACAATCTCACATAAGCACTAAATGAAAAATGCACACACCTGAAATCAGTTCAAACCAACTGAGTTGGTCTAAACAAAATCAGCCAGTAGAAACTGGCCACATACCACTTGCTTGCACTGTGGGGAGCAGAGGCTTTAGACTTCTCTCTGTTGCTCACTGCCCTTGAGCCCCCAGCACTGCTGACTGACCCACTAACTATCTCATGAAGTTCACTTCTGTCCTAGAATTAGGATTTTAAGAACTTTTAAGAACACAGGTGCCCCAAAATCTTTACCTGTCATGGTGGAACTGGGGACATCAGTCCTCATTTTTAAAACCAAACCAAAAAACGAAAAAAAAAAAATACCCGAACTCACTACAAAAATCAAGCCTACAAAACCTGACAGACCTCAGATGGTGAGTGGGAGTGAGCGGAGCTGGTGCTGCACCCCTTGTTGTATATGGGGTTTTGTGGGAAGGATGGCCTCTTAAAAGCCAATTTCTTTATTCCAGAGGGTGCCGGCAGGCAGGAGCCAGTTGGGAGAAGCAAGGCCAAACAATATCCCTTCTGAGTCATATTCTCTATCCTCCCAGGATTAAAGAAAAAGGCCCAGGGATGGTCACCCGGAAATACTACTTAGCAGGATCTGACTGAGCTAAACCCCACGATTCCCCTATGTGAAGTGTGCAGTACCAGAACTAGAAAACCTTTTTAAAAACCTCACTGGCTCTCCTTGCCCAAATCACCACTAAAAATGTGCCACTAGAGCTTATGGCCAAAAGTGCCTATTTTTCCATGAGTTTTGGTCTCCTGAGATGGGAGGTGGGGGAGCGCTTAGCAGAGCCACTGCTTCCAGTGAGGTACAAGGGGAGGGAGGGCAGAAAAGCGAAGGCCACGGATACGGTCAAACATTCACAGTATCAGATATATCTGAAGCAACTTCTTATATCTTTGATCTAAAGAAGCTCCACAAAGAAAGAAGAAGGGGAAGGAAGGAAAAACAATACTACATTCTTAGCACAGGTCTCTGCCTCATCAAAACCACCCTCAACAAAGGGACAGGGACATTTTCCTGGGGTCTGTGTATCGGGGACAGCCACCCTGCCCCACATGGTAAAGTCACATCATTGGCTGAGAAAGGGCTGGTTTATGAAGTTTTGCTGTCACCCAAAGGGTATAAAAGTAGGGGAGTAGCAGGGGAGCCCCATTAAGCTGGCTTTGGCCCCAGCACAGCTACCAGAGTCTTTGCAGGATTTCCAAAAGAATTCCAGGGACCCTGTCAGTATCTGGGTTGGAAATAATGGGGATAGGCTAGGCTGAATGGTTACAAACCACCCCATAAAAAAAAAAGCTCTTTAAAAACAGTCCATAGAGTGAAAAGTTGAATAATTTCTGGTACCACAACATAGAAAAAGGTATTCAAAAGGTCCAGTGATACCTAGAAGACTCTCTTGGTAGAAACTCCAAATAGAAAACGAAATTAATTTTCTGGTGGTTCAGAGTATCTTGGAAATCTGCAGTTCAACTACTGCAGGTTAGCTTCTTCATCATTTCGCTGGTTTTCTCTTGAGTAGGAGATGGGCAGGGAGTTGTGGGTAGGCTAGTTCCTAGAGGAAAAAAAAGAAGTAAAATTTTTTAACTGTGCAAAGGAGACAGCTACCTGGTTCCACTGCCAAGTTCCTGTAGCCATGGTACGAGCAAGGCCTGGTTTTACAGGGCCCAGCCCTATCTGGTGACTTAGCCTTCTTCCAGTCATTTGTAAACTACCCTTGGGAACACATTATTCTGGACCCCTGGCTTCCAAAGAGCAGCTGCCCTGCTTCCAGCTCTTCAGTCTGGTCTCAGAGCTCCAGCCATTTCTCCCCTATGCCCTGGATCCCCATTTCCAGACAGCTTGAGCCTGCTTTTTTGGTTTTGTTCTCCTCTGGCCCTTCCAGGTTTAGACTCAGAGATACCCATGACAGCAGAGAGCAGAGCAGCAGAGAGGGGGAGGCCAGGTGAAGCAGCAGGAGGATGCAGGGAGACCCAGGAGGTGGGTGGGGGTTCACATCAGTGCTTGGGGGTTCTCCTCCAACCTGGCACTGCTGGCACTGGTAGGGCAGGAGGACGCAAGGAGACCTGGCTGCTTTAGCTGTGGCCAAGTACTGAACAGCCTCCTGTATCTCCCTCGTCAGCCTCTCCTTTGCCTTCACTTTATCAAATCCCTGGACAGACAGCTCCAGGGGACGGTTCCCAGAGTGAGGCTGGGACAGCGAGCACCCCTGAGCCCAGCAACAAGAGTCCCAACCTGAGCTCATTCCTCAGCGATTTCAGTCTCCTGATGGACAACCACCTTGGTCACTGACATGTCTGGGTGCTGTTCCTTTGCTTCCTTGATGGCCTGGACGAGGACCTGAGAAAGACACAAACAGGGCTCATCAGGCAGAAGGCAGCCTGGCTGGTGAAGGCAGGCAGGGGTCAGAGGACATCATTTCTCTGGCAAATTCAATCCTGTTGGCAGTACCAGGGCAGTAGTTATGCTAAGCCAAGTTGATAATGACCTTACCTACCTTATCCAGCATAGGGAGGCTCCTAGACTGAAAACAGAGAGACAGGGAAGGTTAGAGCTGTCTTCAAGGAAGGAGAGAGGGACCTCAGGGGTGACAGCTCCATCTGCCTGAGTGGGTCTGGGAGGAGTCACTCAAGAAGAGGCTAAGGATGAAGCAAACTCTGTGTTCAACATAGGGTACCTGGGAAGTTCAGAACAGGAGAGGAAAATAAAGAAACATGCTACAAAAAGGAAGAGATGTCTTTGGCTAGAGTGGAAAGGCCTCGTACATGCCATGCACTGGCCTAAGCATGTTACTATTATGTATCTCATCTTCACAACAATTCAGCAATTTACAGTGGTGTCATTATTTCCATTTCACAGACAGTGGTTCAGTGCCCAAATAAAGTGCTTAATGTTTTACAGACAGTAAGTAATGCAACAGGGATTTTAACTTAAGTCTGACAGATTTCCCTCTTTACCACATTGTCTTTTAGTTCTGAGGGAGGGAGGCCCTGTTACAGCATCTGGAAGAGTTCTGATTGCTTTGGAAAAGCTAAAGGAAGCAGAGAGGATGCCAAACAGCAATCCTCTCCGGGGGCTGCAAGTCTGAGCCTCAAGCTAAGAGCACCTGAAGGAGGAAAGGTCCAGTCCAGCCCTTGGAGGGTGGTGACCTGGGATTCTCAGGGGACAGCTCCCCTCACCCCCATCCAGAAGGACTCTAGCTGGAGCTGACCAGCTGACTGTTGACCCTGGCTCTTAAGAACTATCTCTAGGAAAGAAGGAAGAACAGAATTCCTCTTTGGTCTCTCCACTCTATGAAAGCCGTTCTTGCACCTGCCACCTCTGTAGGCCCCTGCTCATCCTCCCTCATCCTTTTTGCCCCATCTGCTCACGCATCAGGGCCCTGCCCAAGCCCTCTTTGGTTACTGTGGCCTACACCTCTCTCTCCGTGAAGGCCTGCACCACACTACTCCTGAACAGTCCTTCTTAAACCGGCACCCCATCCACCCAGAGCGCATCATGTCTCATTGCTTCCATGCATCCCTTGTACCTGGGAGAACTGGGGAACACTGGAGCATCTCTCTGAGCTATCAAGTGTGTCCGTATGTCACAATAATCCTGAAAGAAACCTATGATTATCTTTATTTTACAGACAATAAAACTACAGCTCAGAGAAGTAA